ATGCTAACATTCCCACGATGACATAACATGCTGATGTTTAGCAGGTGTAATGTTTACCATGTTCACCATCTTTGTTCAGCTTGTTCATACACTATAATATAAATGTAGCTTCACCTTGGTTAGCTGCCATCAACAGGCATAAATACATTATTTGTATAAGTTTTACTGCATTGATTTCTTCAGTTCAGCTGGTTTTCCTTCAAAAACAATCAAAGTGAAACAAAAAAACGATGATTTTAGGTGAACTAAAACATGGTCTCTAAATGTCAATACTTATGTCTCGGTGGCTCAACTTCAGGTGTCAAACGTTCAGGCCAGATCCAGATTTATTGTTTGAGTCGAAAAAAAACGTTTTATTTTATGAAGGCTTTCTGAAGTCATTTTTCCTCTTGTCTCAGATAAAATGTTACCCACCAGTGGAGCTGACACAGCAAACAAGTGTCACATTTCATATAAACTTTGACAGAATGTACTGCCCAGTGTTCACTTGATCAAATTCAGCAACAGGTTGGAGAGTTACTGACCTTGAAACCTGGACACAGACATGTACTTGCACTGTTGTCCTGCCAGTATTTCATGATGTACTAAAGGATTATGAGTTTTGTTAAGTTTTTGTATTTGGCAGGTGATTGGGGGAGTGAAAAGCTGCTCACACAGATGTGATATTACTCGTCCCTGGACTACCATGTTATCACTTTAACTGGCATAACTCTGAAAAATGGAAGCCATGTTGAACAAAAGCTTTCAGCACAACAGCGCTTATTCAGCTGCGCCGAGGTTTAGAAATGGACCAATTTCATTTTGATTGCCAAGGCAGCTCTTCAGGTGTACTTGTAGAGCACAAACACATAGTGAACTGTACCTGAATAATAGATGATTAAGTTAATCAAAGAAAAGGGTAACATGAGGTTCTTTGCCTGAACCTCAATTGTTTGACAAGTAATTTTAATACATTTAGTGCCACCTTCACCACGTAAAACGCTGTTAAGAGGTTGTGGTCCTTTCACGTATTTCTGTGAGATCACATTGAGACATTGCTTTGCCTGCAGCTAACATCACCTGGACCCGGATAAACATGGGAGTACGAATGGATAGATGTACTTACATGTACCTTGTGTGTAGCGCAACTGATCTGAAAACATAACCTGCATTTTTATGTTCACTTCTTTAATTCCTGTTTGATGAACATAATATATTCTTTCTGCCCCACATTTCCCTCCAGACATTGTGAAACTGCAGGTCCTCCAATTACGCTTGAAGGCCACAACCATTTTACACTCCAGAAACATTGATTACATGAGGCTGAACTGCACAATTGTCTCTGTTTTTCTATTGATATTGCAACAACATTATCATGAATATCTTTTGTCCACAATAGTCACGTAGATCAAACTGTCCACCGCTGGCTTTGGCTTTGTGTTTGGTGTATGCAGAGACAAACATAAATGAGAATGTATTGCTGGAATATAAGAAAATGACAGCAGAGTGGCCGTACCACAGCTGGCAGGCTGCTCCTCTGTACCTCACCACAGAGGAAATCAAGTGGTTGCTGCCACTGTACCTTTATTACATTAGGATTTGGTACATCTCCACTGCAAACAGCACAGAAGCCAAAGTGCAAACGACACGAGGAGCCTTCAAGCAAAGAGAGCTTATCCTGAGCCTCCAGACCATTCTGAACGCTGGATATTGAGGTTTGGCACTCAGACATAAACGCGTGCCTCCATTACCGACATGCAAAAACTTCCCACAGAGCCAACTGCCTTGAGCCATGTGTATGGAAGTGTATCTCTTTTGTAAACCACAGCAGGGAGAAAAGGCTTTTATGCAATGTATTTCTCTTCCTCAAATGGTAGCGTATATATTTGTTAGTTTGTGCATCGCCAGGCTGATCTTTTGGCTGTGAACATCACCGAGGGGGTCAGCCTGGAGCAATTGTTTTATTTGCATAAGGGGGCAGGAAGTGCTCTTCTGTTTGCCCACTGATTCTAGCTCAGATAAAACCGTATTGATTCCACAATTTAATAAAAACTTCGAGTATCTCTTTGATCTTCAGATTGCTAAACAAAAAAGAGCTCCCACATGATCCTTCTTCTTCCTCCTGAGATGTGATTGACAGCAATTGTTTTAAACAATATTTACAATTTGTCGCAACACGAAGAAGCATCAAGCATCCGAAACAGCAGGACTTTCAATCCTAGCTTGCAACTTTATTCCAATCTAACCTCAAGCTGTGTTTCTATTGCTGTCCTCTTTTGTGTCTCTGCTGTGAAGCTGAACAACTAATGAACAACTCTGGTTGGAGAGTTTTTCATTCAAACCTAATATTAATTATTTCCCATTGCCCACAGATAACGAAGGTTCAAGGTTCAAGGTTTATCTTTGTGGTCGTTCTACAATACAGGATTGCAAAATGATATATGATGATGTATAAACACAAAAAGATGTAAAATGTGTGCATGTGTTTCTCATGAAAAATGTATGTGAGTTGGCCAAAAGACACAGGTGTGGAAACTCGCCTCCAATTTCCCCTTCCTCCATTCACTCCGACCCGGCTCTGTTTGTGTATGTGTTTGAATGACAAGGTAACAATGGCATTCACAAAACACACATAATAATACACACTAATGCTTCACCTTCACATTTGGTTCAAGCTTTTTTTTTAAATAAATATAGGCAGTAAAGAGATGTTGCCTAGTGCCTCAAATAATAAACAATAGCCACAGTGATGGGAGTACTGGACAAGTATTGTGAGGATATAATAACAGGGGTCACAATGATGACCGACATATTGCAACCCCAGTTTCACGCTGTTGAATTGTCCTGCTTTATTGTTTGAAACATACAAATAAATTTGGATCTGCTTTGAGCGCAAAACCCTTAACACAATTTTTATGTTTTATATCATGTGCAGTTACATACCCAACCTGATCTCCTACAAATTATGTTTCCACACAACACTTTTTGACCCAAAACTTTTACTAAAACTAATCAAAGTAGTTTTTGTAGCCTAAACCTTAACGTACACAAACAAAAAAAAGTACCACAAGTGGTTAAAACACTATAACGTTGATGTAAAAATGTTGACATGAAACATATTTTTGGTTCATTAACACCAAGATTCAACGAATCTGTGGTTTGCAGAAACATAATGGCAACATTTAATTCTGCAGACTGGGTTGTAAGTGCCGCCTAACTGTGGCTGCTTGTTTAATTATATCTTGCTCTAGTGTTTGTTATGTTAAAAAGAGAGGATGTGACATGGGTGTGAGGAAACAAACATTTTATCCTACTTGTAAATAATATAATATAATACTAATTAGGTAATTTGTTATCATTCATTGCCTCTTCAGTGTGGATCAGTCCTGTCAAAGCAGCTCCAGTTGAATAAAAAGGAACAAAAGAGAAAGAAAGGCAGCCTGGTAGACTTGGACCATGAAGTTAGGCCACACATCAAAAGTAGTTTGTGATCTCACAAAACAAAAAAGATGAAATGAAACATTTTTTGTTGTTGTTTTGGCTCGTGCAAAGCAGATTTCCCATCAATATTAACGGGCGGGCTCATGCCGAGAAATGCCTCGCAGGGTGAACTCGGCCTGTCACAGAGACTGAGGATGAAGCTGTGCCTGTGAGGTCCGGTCAGCTGTGAGTGGAGGTCGGTCAGCGGTGACGCTGACAGCATTGAGCGTGGGACTGTGGCTGCAGAAGATGGAGGAGATGGATGACCGATGCTGCAGCCAGTAATCCAGGATGGATGCAGCGGTGTAGTGCAGCGCACAAATTGTTTGTGACAGATTGTTGAGGTGCTGCAAGGGTCTGTAGATCATTTCACCACCCGTCCTTTGACCCACTAAAGCTTACTTTGTCACCGCCTTCCTCAACTTTTCTTTGCGCCTGAGTCACACAAATTACAATTCACATTTGAACAAAGTGGTGGAAACACAATCTATCTTCCCCTCCCTCTGTTTTGATGTTTTGTTGATGGCTTAGATAAGGATTTGCACGACATCTTATTCCTGATTACACCTTTCTCATCATTATGCATAGGCGGGTTTAAAGAGGATGCGCCAGTGCAATTTGGGTAATGGACTTTTTATCATGCAAAGCAAGCATCTGTTTCGTAGATTCCTCCCTGTAAATTTGTGAGCCCTTGTCTCACAAATCATGCAGCTTTATTACCACATTATGTTAAAGAGCTGCTGGACACCCAAGAGTCCTTCTAGCTCTCTGCCTCTGACTGTCATTGTTGTCCATATTTATCACATCATATCTCCAAACTGGTCAGCAATACAGACTGCTTCAACCTGTATCTGTTGGAAAGTAAAGGTGCGTTTCCATCCACCTGTTTTTACAAAGAACAAAAAAAAAGGGTGGAAATGCTAAAATACGAAAAAAACAACAACGAAACAGACTCAAAATATTGCAAAAATATTTTTGTATGCTTGTGTTGGTGCATCGATTACAGCAAAATGCAACAAAGTTCAAAAGAAACATACTTATTTCTTAATTCATTAATTCATTAATTAAGCATGTGACTTAACTCACAAAACATTCCTCAAATCAAACATGGATTCCATCATGTTTTCTACATTTTGTAAAAGCGATTTGACGTCACACTGCAACTATTTTAATTAAGTCTTCTTCGTTAGTTTTCTTCTTCTGAAGTGGTAAAATAGCAACTGACAGGAGCATTAGCGCCACCTACCGCTTATCTCCATGAACTCCTAATATAGAAAAATACATTTTTCTTTGCAAGAAGTTCCTAAAATTCGTTTAAAATAAAAAAACTGCACTACATTTGGTTCACGCGTCAAACAAAAATTAATAAGCGTATTCTTTCTTCTTTAACCACATTAGTCCATTGGCGTTAACACCAAGCCGCCTCTTGTGAAGGTGGAGTGTGATGGTTGTGGAGTCGCTCCAGAAGGAGAGGTGGAGGATTGGTTCAGTGAAACAGATGCAGCTTCTCCTGCTGGAGGAGCGCACAGAGAAAAGCGCAGTCCGATGGAGCGGCAGCAGCGGTTTATGTCACACTACTGAACGCACGTAAACACAGCGTCGCTGTCTCCACACGCACTTTGACGTGTTTACAAAGGAGTTTTTGCAGATATCGAGGAGGCTTTAATAAGAAAAGTGTCGGACTGAAAGACAGGATGGACAAATCGCAGCTGTTCTTCTTATTGCTGTTCTACGGACATCTGCCAAAAGTAAGTCGTCTGTCGTTTGATTTAACAATGTTGTGTCTTTTATTTAAAAAGCGTCTTTGTGGTGAAGAGTGCGCTGAAGTGAAGGGCTTTTCGTTTTCATAAAGCCACTTCTAACACTGAGCGAGCAGGAGCGAGATGAACCTTTCTGACAGACAGATGAGTTTGGAAATCATGATTCAGCTTGTTTTAGGATTTCTGTTTTAGCAACATCACATTTTGCCTATGTGAATGTAAATCGTGTTTAGTCCCTGCGTATTTATACTGACATATCATCTGGCATTTTAACCTATTTTAAGCAATTTTACTTTTTTAAAATTTATTTTATGGATGTTCTCAATCCATGATGTCTCCTGCCGGAAACATCTGACTTTAAGAATTCAGAAACATATTTCATCCCAAACTCAAAATTGAAATGGTGAGATTGTCATTAAATACCCGATCTTTGAAATGAAATACCACTTTAACATGTTGTCTGAAGTCAATCCCTCTGTATCAGAGGGGTTTATTACCTGCTGGTTTTCAGTTTTAATGACAATCAGATAATTGGTTGATCAGACGCCTTTTCAATTGGAAAGAAGTAGCCTATTTGTTTTAATATGCTAGTAAATTAGTATCTGGTGAACAAGCTGAAATATGTTCACAACTCTCTTCTCCCAAGTAGCCTCGGCCACAGCAATTTAACTGAACTATATTCTCAATTATTAAATTCATATGTGTGCTCTCTCTGGGTTTAGATTATTGGAGGGAAATCCTTTGAGCATTTCCACTTCCGTCAGTGCAGTAGTGCTTTGCTGCAGGGACTTTTGTGTGCACATGGAGGTGCACACTTGTGTGGATCTTCGGACTTCAATAAACACTGTTTTAGGGACTTATTGGATTTCAAGTGAAATTATCCATCTGGTAGCACGATAACAAAACCCATTGGCCTGCCCTAAATTGCTGTGGGATTTTTGGTCTTTTCATTAGGCTTGTTAAAAACCAGGTGTCCCCTGCAGTTACGTCTTATTTTCCAGAAAGGCTTCATCTCCATTAAGAAATGTCAGAAGTGCTCTGCTGTTCCTCTCGCTGCACGACTCCTGACTTCTGCATCTCTCTGACGGCCATCAGTGGGATTTCAGTGATCCGGAATGACAATGCTGTTTGTTACAATTTCACAAATGTGTGAAAGAAAATGGAAAAGAAGTCTGATTCTAGGTAGTTAAACATTTTGGCCTGTGGTACTGGATGTGTCTTTGGGTGGATTTTAGTAATTTGACACTCAGCATGGCTTCCTTTAAGGCCTTCACTGAAGCTCTTTCCAGGCAGAATAGTCTGTGAACATACAAACGACTGTGTGAAAATGTCTTTCTCTTCACTTCTGACAACTCTCAAATGTCTGCTTTAAAGATCAACCAGATACGTCATTTGGTGACATATTTTAATGTCTCTTATAGGCACCAAAACATTTAGCCAGGGACGATGTGTTGCTTCCCTGTGCTTTCCACGGTCTTAAGTGCCTGCTGACACGTTTCATCAATAGTTCTAATGAGGAAATGTGATGTTGAGAGCACAGAAAATCCCATGCGTGGTTAAAAAGTGCATGTCGGTGGCTGCTGGATGTCTCCGTTATCTGTTTAACACTATGCAGATGGGAGAAGAGAAGATAGGAGGGTGGGCGAGAATGACTTCTCCTTCCTGCCTCTTTCCAAACATGAAACCACCCGAAAGAAACAACAAAAAATGTGTTTTAAAGAAATAATCAGATACCTTAGTTTAGCAGATATCTTATTCATTATTAAACATCATGTTAGTTACAAGTTAAAGAAAGAAGTTATCGCTGTCTGTCTGTGCTCAGACTTTGGACTCTGTTTATTCAATATTCACCTCTAATTCCTATTTCGAGATTTTTTTATTGGAACCTAACACACTGGTAATTTCGGTCTTGATGTTTGTTTGGCTGGAAAAGTGTTTAATCAAATTGTGCCCAATTTTCACACTCGGCTCAGCGGCTAATGAACCCCAAGTGAAACCACATGAGGCTGACAAGTTACACGCACGATGTAGATGTTGCTCCCCAGTGAAGCGTGGGATGGGGATAAACACATTACTCTGCATTGTGTGGCCACGCACACACACAAGCTTCTTCTTTCATTTTCCTGTCAGCTTGGCTCGGTTTTTATTTGATCGTTATCTCGTACTCAAACAAAGCAAGACCGGCAGCCTCTTGAAATGACAGCAATCACTAAAAAAAAACCCGAAGCAACGAGCCTGGCAGCCGTCGTGATGAGCTCTGTGCTAACAAGCTATCAAAGCTGGCAGGTATTTATGGGATGTTTTGCTCATGGAGACACTATGTGTGTCCCCAAGGCTTTGCAGAGGTCCACTTATCATCTGTATAGTTTGGGATTGACATTTTAATTTATTGCCCACTACAGTAAAAATCATGGCTGTCCAAAGTATTGATTTCATCAATTATAAGTTTTCAACCTATCTAACTGGTACTTCATATTTGTCATCAGCGTTTTAAGCTCGAGCATAAATCACCAGGACAGGACCTTTTCTTCCTGTCTGTTGTATCTTCATACATGAGGAAATGTTGTTATTTTGTTATCATTGGTCTCCCTCTTTGTGTGTTCTGGCTCTATTCACAATATACAGGCTTAGTATATATGAACTAATAAACTATCCATGCAATGAAGAGAGCTTGATCCTGATGAGGGACTTTGTTCCAGTTTTTCTACTGTTTACACAGCATTAGGGGAACTACAGGTTTGTTGCCACTGGTTTGTATTTCCCAGAAGCCAGAAGAAATGAAAACAACGCCCCACTTTATATCAAATCAAACTGTAAATCTGGGTTGTTAGCTTGTTAGTTTAGAGAGAAAACCCAGTCTGTGCCTTAATTTTAAAATGTCTTCATTGAAGTGTTCCACACACAACACACGCATCATGATGAGGCCTTTTTTTCACAGCAGACATTTTGACCTGTCATAGGAAAAGAAGCACAGGTGTTACTAACGATGGCTCCGTTATATTCAAGTGTGACAATGAGTCAGCATGTCAAATAAAGGAGGAAGCCATTGTTGATTCAATTATTTACACCTCTGCTTTTCCTACTGTGGCTACACCTATTTTCTTTGCTGTTTTTGGCCACTAGGGGGCAGTGTAACAAGCTGAACGTCGATAAGGCTGACATGTTAGCAAACAATTGTCTCGTTTCACATCCAGTGAAAACCAATAGCATTTATTTGGAGTCTGGTTTCTGGCCCAAAATAAGTCCAATATTCACTCTCCTTTTAGCTCTGTTTTTGGTCTTCCACCAGCTCAAAGGGGAAATATCTATTCAGTATCTAAAGCTGCTCACCCGGTGTTTAGCAAAGTTAGTAGCTAAACACTGTACACATTTTTGCGCTTCTGGTTCCCTTGTCTCAAAGTCAATGTTTTTTTTAAAATGTGTTTTTGGTTAGATGCCTAAAATTAGGACTACGGTGAACAAAATCTTAAGAAATGTTTTGTTTTACGACATAAAATATGTCGGTTAATACTTTACTTGAATTTTGAAGCTTTATGTGTCGTAAAAATGCTAACGAGGGGTTTAATGACACTACTAAATGTCATCGTGCTGACTAGTCCACCTTTATCTTAGATGTGAAGTCATGCGACTGTGGTGTAGTTCGTTTATAGCCTAATGTTAAGAGTTTTACAGAGTGGCCCACACTTACTCTGCTATGGCCTATAAACAGCATGAAATTTAAGTTAAAAATATAAATAGTAAAGATCCTAAAACTAGACCTTCAGTGACCTTCTACAACAGGACCCTTCTTCCTTCCTTCCTTCCTTTAAAGTGCAAATTCCCTAACAAATGTGCAATCAACGAAATCACCAAAAATAACGAGCTTATGTGGCACCTGGAGCAGTCGCCCTCCTTGATTTTATCGTTAATAATATATTTATTTATAATATCATTTTTATTAATCAAACTTCAATAATGTAACAGTAGCTCTCCTAGATATTAGCATTACAGTGCTGATGTTATATCATATAGCACACAGAGACAAAACTCACTGATAGACCAGGTTGTAGAACATTCTCAAAGTATTACCTTACCCTCTGTGGGTCTTTTAGACTTAAATCCCGTCTTGAGTGCGCCGCTGTTACGCTGCCCGATAATCAATTTCATGCTAATCAAAAATAAGGTTACCAAAGGGTCTGACCAACATGAGATTTCCTCCTCCATCCGTGTTGCTCTGCACGGATAATGTTTGCAGATTAATCTCCTGCCTCCCGACCTGCGCTACTGCTATTACTTCAGGATATGTTGGATTTTTCCATTGCAGGCAGAGACTCCTGTGAGCAAAGTTCTGTTGGTTGTGATAGTGTCAAGATGACCTCATCAGAGGGGGGGAGAGAGTGAGTGAGGCAATGACTGAGGCTCTGAAATGTTGTGTTGAGAAGTGATAACATGGAGGTATGGCATAGATTTCTGTTGTTTACCTACAGGTAACTGTTGCCCTTGATGCAATGGTGTAATGCTTGTAAGTAAACAGCACATTCGTATCATATAAAATACTCTGCTTGTAACTTGTTTCTGATGCGGCCTCATATATATTGGAAAAACAACGAGAGCCCAAACCTGAACACAGAAGTGCCATTCGTAATCATGATGCAGCAAGTCCAGTAGCTGTCCATTTACTGGCATCGAGGCTGTCATATGTCCTCGAAGAGGACACAAAAGTGACTGTCTGCTCCTGAGGAGAGGACTATTTTGGATAACTATTTAGAAGGATTTCTGACTCTGGATTTATAGTGATCAGTATTGTGAAATTATTTTTGTACCATTGGTTACTCCGGATGTAGATGTTGTTTCCTTGTGATTATCTTTGGGCTCTTTATTGTAGATTCTTATTACTTTATGTTTTAGGGACATTTCCAATATAGACACCTATTCAATATACTGTATATAGAAGGTATGGCAGCTACTGGCCTGATGTTATTCTTATGAACTGCACAATTCTTACCTTTACCCTTACATTTTTGTATATTATATGTATAAATCGGACTTTTCTTATATGCAACATAACTGGGCGTTTTTGTGTGGATTGGATGGTGCACTGCTAATATAACGTGACTGTCATGTGACCAGAGCTTATGTATTTAAAAAGATGGCGTCTCTGTTGAAGTTACTGATGAGTGTAAAGAAGAGCATTAGTTTGAAACGTCACTTATGGACGTGCTAACAAATTGCATGTTGGGGACCTTTATTTATATTTTCATTGATGTGGTTTGAAGCAAAACTAGTTCAATTACATAGTTTGAAATTCCTAAAGTTACTTCTACTCCTCTGTCTTAAAAAAATAACCCGGAATTGATGAATATGCAAATATTTCAAAAGTTGAACCACTGGACACGAGATCTCTCTTTAGATCTCACATTTAGATGTCACAAAGTCATACTCGTTCGTACACAACTTAAAAGTTGAGCACAGAGAAACTTCAGCAGATGAATGTGAAAACATCTCGTGTCAAATTCTGCACATGCTTCACAATCTGCTTTTCCAAACTTGTTCATGGCCATTTTCTGTATATGTAATCAGCCCAGCTGTACATATACCAGCTCATCTCCACTTGTTCTTCAAAGTTGATATGTTATATCTTTGATTCATGCATTGATTCAGTAACAAATTCTGCATATTTATTCATTTTTTACCAGGATTGTCTTTTTTTTTTTTTTTTTACAAGCAAAAAACAATTGAATTTCAATAATTTGATAAAAAACAACAACCTTTCTACATATTCTCCATGTCAGGTGACTGTAACACTGTTGGAATTGAGTGTCTGAATTAGCGCTGCATCATCTGCTCCTTGCAGACATTCTATTTTGTGTTGACGTGTTCGTGTGCTCGTAAATATTCCTGCACCAAAAGATATCAAGAAGTACAACAGGCTTGCTAGATAGTACACTTACTCCTGGTTGTAAATGATGAACAAAGCGTTTTTCTGGGTTTATTCTGCCTCATCACATTGACTCATTACACTACCATGCATATGCTCAACAAGGCTGTGAGAGACATTAAGAACAAGAGCGTTGCTGTTGCTCTCAAAGGTGTCCTTTTTTTTAATAAATACAGTTTGGTGTGTTCGTCTTATCGGAGGTGAGCAGTGTGCTACAGACTGCTGTTTACATCAGTGTCGGTTGTATTGGGAGCTCAACCCTGGACTAAACGGGGCATTTGTGGATGATTGATGAGGATCATTTTGTGTTTGACAGCTGCACCTTGGTGGTGGCGGCTCATAAAACGGACAACTAAAGACATCTACAAGGACCAATTAGCAGAACACGAATTGTATTAATATCTTATGCGCTTTTAGGCTGCATCGCTCTTCTCTTCTTTGACCTTTTGCTGCCTTGAGTCTTGTATGTGTTGTAGCTTTGGTAGCAGGGTAAAGCTCCTTCTTGGGAGTTCATGAATTTGCTCTCTCTTTCTCCATCTCCACTGACCTTCTCAAGCTCCTCGGCGCTCGTCTTACACATTTTCATTGACCCACTGGCTTTCCGCCATGCGGCTGTCAGCCCGCATTTTTCAGCCTTTTGTTGACACAGATGAACAATCGCAGTAGATTACTCAGTGGCTCCCTTCTCCACATCCTAATCCATTTCCATGATAGCATCTATTTGCCAGGCAAGAGGGATTTCAGAACATTTCTGTGTATTATTAGCCGGGGGTTCGCTGTAATAGGAAAACATGGCATGAGAGGCCATCGCTGCAGGAATGTGCTCGAGGGAAATGCTGAATAAAATATTTACTGGCACATATTCACTGGGCTGTAACCCGTCGGCCAGCCTCAACCTCACCGAAAATGAATTCTTTCAGCGCCTAATTGCGGTGTGATGGAAGCATGTTTGATTCTTGACACCTAAAAGTGCTTTCTGCCTCTTCCACAGGTGTTGTCGGTGCAGATGTGTGACGTGGTGAACGAGATCGAGCTGGAGAGAGAGCGCTGTGAGGATACCTCCTTTGGGAACGTCTCTTCAGGTCAATCTAAAAAAAAAACATTTTCCTCTCTCTGTTTAGGGTGTTTAGGCTATTTAGAGGAAATAAGAAGTGAGGTAAGGTGATACGGTGTGGCAGTTTATAGATGAAGCACTATTATAGCTGGCAGAAATACAATTGCTCATTTTACCGCAGACGACTATTACAATCACGTTTTAGTTTAACGTAAAGTAACCATATCGCAGTCAGAGTTGAAGGGTGGCTTTTATCACTTTTTGCACCCATGAGACTTTTTCTCAGGAGTTTGTGGGTGTAACTTTGTTTGAATGACATCTCCCAAGTCTTCTGTTGGTTGTTTTTGCACCTTATACGATGGGACAAATTACACCTTCACCATTTTTATTGCTGTACAGATTTTAAGACCTCTGTTGAGTCCACGATCACTCCCTTGTTCATTCTTACACTACTCCCTAACAGACAAAAAATAGTTTGAGGCAAAGATGCTGCGTGTGGTGAAAGACTAACCCTAACCCATACCGCTCGACTGCAACAATTTGCATAAAGGATTTGTAGTTGGAAGTAAAAGCGTGATTATCTCCCAAACTGAAGTCAAAGCAGAATAACGAGTGCTTTCATTTGGCAGAGACACTTTGGAATCATCCTAATTTTTCATCATCCCTGACAGGCGTAGTGTCACAGAGTTGTAATATTCACATCTATAAAATATTGAGCATTGCATCGTGGGCCTGAATGGAGGTCTAATCAGCCACAGTGATTTAAAAACACCTGTGTGAGCGTGCAGAGCCATTAAAGCCAGTGCGGGAAGCACTATTTCCTGATGGACATGACATCGTCAGGTTAAAACATTAACATTAACATAACCTTGAAGGACGTTATGATTGGATATTTAGGTCATGAAAGTATTTAATGATAACATCAGTGTCTGTCATAGAGGAGTGAAGTGAGAGTTGAACATCCATGGTTCACCCACTGTATCGGCAGGAGTAAGTGAAACATATAAAATAGTATAGAGTCTGACCTCTACTCTGAATAAACATCCCTCAGAAATACACAGTAATATCTCCATATGGGCTCATTTAAAACATATTAGGTACTGTACACACTGCAGAGTGCATTAAGTGAATATACACAAACAGTGCTCCTCCTTATCTCTGCAATGACCCTCATCTCTCTTTTCCCTATCTGCTTCCTCAACAGGAAGGTAGCTCTCACATGTCACATCACTAATAAATGAATTAGCAGTGTGTGCATACGTGAGGAACCATACGTTCACAGACTGTGGTTATGCAACATTTTGAATATAGAGATGGTCCTGCAATTCCTTTGCGTTCATGAAAGAGAACAGGCAGAGAAATAACTATTTCTTGAGAGTTCATGCATTCGGGTGTCCAACGTTAAAGTAGCACTAGATACACACACACACACACACACACACACACACACACACACACATCATTGTGCAGAACTAAAGAAGAAGCTGTCTACACTCTGACAGAAATTGTCTCAATCAATCTGTGTTAGAAATGGTTCGTCACTTGTGTTTTTATTTCAAACTGCACGGTGTTCTGACTTAAATTTCAAATACAGAAAAGATTGCAAAGAAAGTGTTCGATTGCTGTAAACTGCAAAATAGGAGTGTGATTCTACATTTAGTCACAAACAAACCTGTCCTATGTAAGATGCCTCGGTAGACGCGGTGTCAGAGGAGACAATACGACCAGGGTTAGTGGTGGTGCAGCTTTCACTCTTTAGCCGAATGCTCGTGGAAAAGGAAGTGAGATTGGGGACTTAAATTTGACCAAAATAAAATTAAGGATTAAAAGGTTTTCTGAATTATAAAAATGAGCCTTGAATAAATGGAAATACACAACAGTCACAAAAAATAGAAGTGATTCTATAAAAGTGCAGCATATTTTGGAGTTTGACATTGTTTCCAACCAGCCTGCACAGATATGAGTGACTAACGGTCTTTGAATTGGATTTAAAGCAGTTAATTGAAATTAGAGAATATGGATGAACTCAGAATGTTGTACCAAATGTGTAACGTGAACCAACATATCGATTATCTTTTTCTCTCTGGATCAAAACGGAAAGAATCCTGCTGTGTTAAGCACATGATTTAAGCATGTATGTGTTTGTCCGTCATGATATGAGTGATGCCATGTTAATGGTACTGTCTCCTCCCTGGCAGGTTGCCAAGGCATGTGGGATATCATCGCCTGTTGGCCTTCAGCCAGAGTCGGAGAGGTCGTTACCATAACTTGCCCCACTTACTTCAGTTACTTCAGCGACGAGCACAAAGGTAAACGCGTCCTCCTTTACCCGATGTAAATACAACATGCATGAAGAACGTGTTCTCTGTTATATGTATCTATCATTGTATCAAAAATGGATAAATGTTGCATGGTAAAATTAATTCAAGGAAGGAAATGACAATTTTCTTGGTGTAAATATCTGTTGTTTAATCAAACTGTATGAGTGGAGTCATTTATTTTGAGGCAAACAAACTTTTAGGTGCCGAAACTGAAAGTTGTGCTGTCAGTTTCTTTTGCTATTAGCTCAGGGCTGGTCAATACATTTATATATTTTGATATGAAGTGGATTTGCATACAATCAAGCCTTTGGGTAGATACTGACTGAAGATTTAATGTGTTGCTTGCATGCAAATGGACATTTTAAAGCTATCAAACATGGTGGTTTCTCCATCACCTCCTGTGGACATCAGAACATGATTAGAAACCCTACAGAAAGCCCGGGGCGAACAATGTCAATTCATGAGCCTCATGAAGAGCATCATGACATCGTTGGTATTTACAAGAATCAATTGTAAAATTTAACATCTTTTTACATTTGTCATCAATTCAAAGAGCGAGAATAATAGACCGCCCTGCTACTCTTCTATACCAGTGCGCCTTATCGTCAATGTTCTGATAAAACAATTATCCATAACAGCGCTGACCGTATGAACTGTGTGGTGCATTAAAAAAAGAGATCACATGTTTGTGCTATTTATTGTTAGTTCTCCAGCTACCTCAAACCCAAGATAACAAGTTAATCCAGGTTACTGTAAACGGTATGTAGCCGTTACGTGGGCCAGATTTAAAAACATGTGCACGTAAACTCAGCCACAGATTACAGTCGGGGTCTAAGAAAACAAGGAGGAATCCAGCTCATCCCGAAACCGTTGTTTTGGAACAAGCACAGGCGAGAGAGGGCAGGAAGAGAGATGATTCACTAACCTAAGAAACAAAAGAAAGACACTTTGAGATTGTGTTTTGTTGAATCGCCTTTTTGTCGACCAAGACATCCTTCGATCTTTTCAACTCTGTCTACTGCATTTACAGGGTTTGATATTATTCTTGATACATTTTAGATCACTGAGAATATTTTAATTAAATCTTCATTTGCCTTCCCTTTCTTTGAAAAGCTTGCGTCCTTGTTTGTCACTCTCGCCGCGTCAACTCCTCCGTTGCCTGCAAACTTTCAAGGACTTAAATCGCACATGGCAAATACCTGCATAATCAAACCTTTTGATCTCTCAGCAACCTGGGACTTGCTTTTCTTCTTCAGTGTACCACAACAGCCTCTATTCTTGACTCTGGAGCCTTGGTGAATAAAAGAAAATGACACTGACGTCACCATCGATCTGTTTGACCGCTGCCATGAATCACGACATCATGCTGCGCTGCTCTCTATAGTGGGTAGAAACTTTCAGTTAGTGAAGTCCCAACAGATGACGTCTTCGAAACACATTTGTTTGACTGTTTTTTTTGGACATTGGTAGTGATATAGGCTTGGCGTTGCTCAGTTACTGATGAATAGACATTTCCTTCTGGTCACTCCTTTGTATAAATGGTGATTTCTTTCTTCTGCATCTCAACGTCATTTTAGGGATGAGAAGGAGGCAGACACTATAAGACACCTTACCACTCCTGAACTGGATACCACATTAGTGCATCATACAACCATCTTTAACCTTGTTAAAACACAACATTTAAATTGTTTTCACACTGTTGTTGTACGTATTAAACAAACTAAATAAAACCTGTCAGCTTTAGCGGCCCTCTTAAAGCAGATTTTGTTACTTTTGGACAGAGCCAGGCTAGCTGTTTCCCTCTGCCTCCAGTCTTTGTGCTAAGCTAAGTTAGCCGGCTGCTGGCTGTAGTTTCATATTAAACGTACAGACATGGGAGTAGTTTTACTTTTCATCTGGAGTGTATACATTGTGACCCCTCTCTGGTGATTTCCTGTATGTTCAAGATGTTTTTTAGAGACCATATTTGCCACCTCCCCATGATATGTTTGACCTTTAATGCCACTATTTGCCTTAAGACCTCTCATTCCCTCCATCATCAGACACCTGCTGTTATCACTTATTGTCCAATTTCAAGGGGTGACCATATTTACAACCTTGTGGCTGCTGCACTCTGAAACAAACCTCCATCATATCTCATTTTTTATTGTCCAGCTTTTGAGTTTAACTGGTTATTGCCATTTAGATGTTTTTTTTTCTTTTTGTACTACTCTTATGCTCTACACATAGTGAGACTTTTTCAAGCAAATTCAAAATGAAGTTGGCAGTATTGCAGGCTGAACCTGCACTAGGAGCAAAAGCCAGAGTAAATATTACGGGGGTTTCTTTGCCTGCTGTGCTGACTGACTGTAAACTCGACTTGAATGTCGGTTGTTGAATCAAACACACATCACATCATGGTGGACTGTGGTGCAGATCGGCATGAACTCCAGTTTTCTGCGATGCTGCCTGACCCAAACCAGTCCTTCATATCCTTTCCCCTCCTCTCAAAGAGTCAATTTCAGATATCTCTGCTGTTGAATATCAATTTCTTCTTTCCAACACCTCTGGACTATTCCCCTCCAGCATTTTACCTGCTCCTCTTGTGCCTCTGACTCTATGACCCAGCATGTCAGTGCTCATCGTTTCCCCCTGAACGGGAGATGTGCTATAATCCAACTATTCATAACTGATGGGGCTTTTACCATCTCACTGGGGAATATATACTGTACAGACCACACGACCCTCTAATGAGATGAATAAGATACTAAATTGGGAATATTTGCAGAAAGACAAAAGCTTCAGACTCTTTGATGTAAATGCACATTGTAATTTCCCTCTCTGTGTCTATTTTTGCTTCTCTTACTGTGCACCTCTGTCTGGTTCTCACAGTTCAAGACTGAACTTTCTTCCACCTCAAGATACAATAAAATGGGGAATTAATCCTAAATATTGTTTTCCCTTGAATCCACCTAATGGGGCTCATATTTAATGGACATGAGAGTGGTATCATGTTTTTAATGTTTAACCATACTTGTGTTTCTTTAAAATTATGATACGGTGTAAATCATGATTAACTTGTAAGTTTCTCCTGCAACTTTTTCCATACATTTCTTTTCTTTTTGTATCCCAGAACCTGAAATTCTGCTGCTGCCACATACCTTTTTCATATTCTATTGGTGTAAAAAAAAAAAGCAGCTCCATCACCTCTTAAACAGCCAGTGAAATTTTGAAATATGGTCTTTCTCCCCAGAGCCATTTTGTGCACGCATAGATGTGAATTTTCTTGCGCTTCTGGGAGTGTTACTGCGCTCATACAGACATTAGCATCTCAGAGTGTCAAACTGAAAATTGGAGTCATGGGGAAATGTGACAGGATCTATTTTAAAACCGAACATGGCAGCGTGGAAGAGGCAAAAAAATAGATGGCAAAAATCATTCAAAAAAGTGGTTTGAATGAAATTGTGAGATGATGATGATGATGATGATGATGATGATGATAGACCACCACTTAGGGTTTGAGTTTTTAGTAAACTGCTCTGTGATAGCGGTTTTCAATTGGACACGTCAGTATCAAAGACACTTTTACCACTATATGTATTGTAGGTAATTAGAACAATTTCTTTGTGAGGTGGCGTCATATCCTCATCTAATTGGGAGCCATAAGAGCTCCAAAACTTTGTACCGAACAAGCACTTTTTTTCCCTGTAATCTGTAGTCTGATTCTTCTTCGCTCAGAATGAATGAAGAATGAACACATCAATTATCACTCTGAGCTCTTTATTTCCCACTGAGGCAGAACTGAGTAGATAGTTGACAACTGCCTCGTCTGTCATACTTACATAATCTACTAAATGATGTGTACAGTGGGAAAGACAGTTTGTTTATTTTGCATGTTTAAATGTTATGTTCTCACAGTGATTAATGGTCTGAGCAATATGTTGACATTTGCATTTATAGTGCATTTTGTGATTACCAATAACACTTGTCGGTAGCAACTAAGCAAATCCATTTTTTCACTTAACATCCCTGGACATTGGCCATTTGACACATGGAGGGTTGTCATTTTGGAATACTTTTATTTTTTATTTTTTCCATACAACATGACAAACAATACACATACATTTTCATGTTTTCAGCATGAGAATATTCAGCAATTCATTATTTCTGTGCCATTTTACAACTAAAGTTTTTCTTGCCAGTCTCATTTAGTGTTAAACTTCTCAGCTCGGCCGACATCACAGCAATCAATCCTTTGTTGTGAGAGCAGACTTAGTCTGCTCGTCTGAGTGTTATATATGCTTTGCATCTACAATCATAGTATAGAAAAGTGTCTTTGTGTTACTCACAACTTTAATGTTAGAAAAAATAAAAAATACATGGGTTTCTTTTTGGAAACCTACTGCGAAAGTAATGTGCTTCGTAAAATCTCAATAATGGAAAAAGGGACTCGGTGAAGGTTTGATTAACTCCTGTGAAGGCTGCGCCGCTAAAAAGACTCAAGGCAAATATAATGAAACAGAGACAGCTTGACATAAACTCTGCTGGAGAGACAAACAGACAGAGCTCAGATAAATCTCTCTAAAACTCTAAAAACTACAGTAAAACTCTTTTGTACTCAAAGTTTAGCTCCCTCTTTCTTTCTGACTCACTTTCTGAATTGCAATCTCTTCACAAACTCTGGCCCTGATGGCAGGTTGATATGTCTGCTGAGCTTCCAAATACTTTGCTTTATGACCACATACCTGCAAAACCAATGACAATGTCATCAGCCTCAGCTGTACTTGGTGTTTCCTGCTAGTTGTTGTTGGTCCGTTACACCACTAGTGCCCTTGCAAAATAGGAGAAGAAGAGTAGAATGAGATGGCGGCCAGTGGTGGACTGATACAGTCGACATCCGGTGAGTCAGATTATTTTGTCGTCAGCCTTACAGAGCTGCTGGGTTGTGTAGACTTCTAGTTTTATCCTTTTACCACTAATGCTTAGGAAAAGGTTTTTTTATAATGAATGTTTTCTCCTAATCTAGTAGATGGAGAGTACATTGACTCATGATTGGAATCTATTGCAACTGTCAGAAACCTATTAGGGAAACTGTATAAATCGTCTGTGTATTGAGTTTCCAGGTAGACGGAGACAAATACTGAGAAAGCTCTTTTTACCCGTTACAACAAGAAACCAAATCTGAAAACATGCAGTCATCACTCATGTCTAATCAATCATCCCCTTCCTGTATCTCTGAGCACTACTGGATATGTTTCACTCAATTTATTGACAGGTTTTCCACAGAGATGGTCAGAGAAAAACAAAGCTAGAGTGAAAAAAAATGTTTCCTCCACTGCTCATCAATGAAAATGAGTGATGTCGAGCAGGAATAACCTGACTTTTACTTAACTTTACTGTAGATTTAGTTTTTAATGACAGCTGATGTGAAAATAAATGTTGTCTCAGGTGACAGTAACCCAGCTTGGAGGGATGTCCTTATTCCTCTCTTTTTCACTTTAAATGATGTTTGATTTGTTTAGCAGAACAAAATAAAAGCATGTCATCTTCCTCAGACCAAATTTCGGAAATGTCGTGGTCTAAAAATAAAAGCTATAACCAAAGGGATCCAAATTTTCATTTATGTTAAATGTTTAGGTCAAATATCTTTCGTGTCACTTCTACTTTCAAAAAACAAAATGGCGACTGCCAAAATGGCGAACTCAGGACTTTAAAATGGCAGTCCACAAATCAATGGGTGAGGTCACAGTGACTCAGTCCACTTCTTATATACAGTCTGTCTGCACATGAAAACAAAGCAATACTTTGTGAAGGATTGTCATGTGTGAAACTGTTAAAGCCGTTGCAAGACTCTGTCTGTGAAATGGCCTTGAGTTGAGGAGAACTCGTTCTTCCACTCTGCAATGCAGCAATAAATCTGTTGAAAAGACTTCAAAATCTACTTCAGTCAGTGTTTCCATTCAGGATCTTTAGGGGGACTCATCCCGTTCCTTCCTATAGGGCATGGGCCTTATGGTGTGGACCAAACCTACACATCCATGAAAGTGGTTAATAAAGGAATGAATTGCGGACTAAATAAGACAAAATAAGGGGGAATTCACAAACATCATCCCAGCATACCCCTCAAATACAACCCCAGCAGCGACCGTAGTAAACACGACATTTCAATCGCACGACCTCTTCCTGACTGAGCAGCACTTCTACACAACAATCTCCTGCTGCTTCCCTCCACATCTCATCGCCTGCATATAACATTTAATTCTAAATGGCTAAGTTTAGGCAGAGCCACTTGTCTGTCAGTCATGTTGTGGTTGAGGTCTCTTGGGATAAGCTGTTTACATGAACCCCCGGTACCCCACAAATAATGAATAAACCATTAATAAATCCCATGAATAAACCAAATGACAGACTATTTCTGGTGCTCTTCTCTCAGATCGGTACACCTGCAATTAAGTACAAAAAGTCTTTGGCAGAGAAATAGGGGGTTATTTTGAATGTAGGGGGAAGAGATAACCTTAGTTTTCTTACAGTAATCCGTTAGCAATCATATCTTTCCAATTACCAATTTTTCCTTGTATTTTAGTTACAGACAGAGTTGCTTTGACTACGGAGCGTTTTAAACAATCCACAAAAGAAGCAAAAGAAAATACAGCAAACAGGAGGACATGCCAAAGACTGTACACAATCGTGATGATAGAGAATGAATATTAATACAAATGAAGAAATGTGAAGCACATTGCATCACCAGCAGAGAGGGTCACGATTAAGTGCCAACAATGTTAAGTCAAGAATTAGAAAAATATTGTAGAAACTAAATTAAAGGTAAAAAAAAAAAATAGATGTAGAGAAAATATAGAAACAAAAGCTGGATACAAAGGACAAAAATCCCACTCCAGTTCGTCAGAAAACAAGCCTACAAACTACTCAAGTAGTCCTCGTTATATGTGCCTTTCTGCCGGCACATATAATGCACAAGTCAGTAATGGCTCACATTAGCGGGAGAGAGTCACACAGCGGTTTGAGGTTTTGTAGGGTTTTTTTTTTTTTGCAGCGACCCAACAACCCAGTATATGAGGTCACTGACAATGTCACAGTACGTCTCACAGCAGTACATGGAGTGTTGGACCAATTTCAAACAAAGTTGGTGAGCATGTAAATGGGAAATCTACTGCCTGGGTGGCTCTGACCTCTTTATGTCATCTCCATCTCCAGGCAACCTCTCCAAGACCTGCACAGCAGACGGCTGGACTGAGATGCATCCCATTGACATCGCCATGAACTGTGGATACAATCTTAACAGCACCAGCGATGATGTGAGTAAAACACGGCCCTCTATGAGAGGCAGCAGTACAGATACCCATTGTGAATGGACTCGGCAGCACAGTGGGAAACCATCCCGAGAACCAGTGGGCAGGAAGAATTGAATTAGAACATCTTCCCTTTTCTCTGTGGGTGTTGAGTCTATCAGGAAAATAGGAAAATCTGCAGTGTTTGCCTTTTTGTTATGAATTGCAGTGATTTAGTAAAGTAAAATAAAATAAAAGTAACACAACAGCATAACACTCAAAAAACATTTGTGGCCTATTTCCATGCTAGGGCTTTGAAAAACATTGGCTTTTATAGTATTGGTGGAATAAACGGCACATTTCAAGACATCCAGAAAGAAATGTGTTTTGCTCCTGATGAGTTTTATTTAAAGAATTTACTGTAAGAAATTTGCTTATTTTGCGTTATTGTCTAGAGTTATATTAAAAAGTCACTACCTCTCTTGTGTGTTACGTAGAGAGCTGGTGCTATCTGGCTTTAATTAGCCTAGCCTAAACTAGCTTAGCACAAAACAGCTAGCTTGGCTCTTTTCTAAGCTCCAAAATATGTTTACCAGCAACTGTAAAGCTCACTAGTTAACACATTATATCCATCCATCCATTATCTTTAACCGCTTGTCCTGTTATCCGATCCCAGCTAACAGGGTACACCTTGGACAGGTCTCCAGACTATCCCAGGGCCAACACATAGAGACCACTCACGCTCACATTCACACCTGTGGGCAATTTAGAGCCTGAGCTGCATGTCTTTAGACTGTGGGAGGAAGCCGGAGAACCCGAAGAGAACCCGAAGAGAACCCACGCTGCCACGGGGAAAACATGAAACTCCACACAGAGGGGCCGTCACACAACACACAAACAGAAATGTAACGCAGCAATTTGCAAATTTTAGCGGATGTCTGTGCAGAGTCTCAACTGATTGCCCGTTAGCCAAGATAAATGTAATGCACTGAACTTTCTGTAAAAACCACAAATTGTCATTTTTACATTCTGTTATTGTATGGACTAATCAAATTCCTAACTTCATTTTAATTAGGTAGCTTGAGAGGGTTTGGTAGGTTCTTCTTTTTAATGTGGAGACTTGATTTCCAATCTTGCTAAGTCTACCTAAGCTAGGCCTGCTAGCAGTGGAAACAAGCTGTCAACACAACATTGAAATATGATCTCCTTTTTGGATGATGTGGTGAACTTGTGAGCAAAAAGTTGCCTATATGCACATCTAGCAGATATGCAGCAACATTAGTTTTCATTTGGACGGGTGTCTGGCCACCTGATATATGCAGGTCCAGCATTTACTCTCCACACCAACTCCTGAGGGATCTATTTGTCTCTTTAGCTGCTAAATGCTGCACTGTGTTCAGCAATTAGTCACTAACTGTGTCTGTCTGGGGTGAAAGAACTGCAGGAGAACTGCAGAGTTAGGTGATACTTATCAGTTGGTTGGTAACAGAGCGACTCCTTTCACATTACACATATCCTCGAGCCAGAGTCGTTTTGAAAATATTGATGATAGCCAGTGAGACCCACAGACAAGACAGTGATATTGAACCCTGGCCAAAACATGTTGAACTGTTCCTTCAAGCTCCTAAATAAAGAGTGCACGTCCTAAAAACCAAATATATTCTGACTGTGTTTAAAATGAATATAGCGATAAGTCAACGTTCTTCATTGTTTGCCGAAGACGGCGCACGTCTTTGAAGCACAACACACTTTTCACTGATGAGGCCGAGTCAGTTCATAATTCCTGCCTCTATTATCTGCATTATGAGTAATTCGGGGTTGTTCATGTGGCCTTCAGGGTTAGGGAGGGAATAAGTAGATCAAATGTTGCTCTTATTTAGTTCAGTTTTAATGCAGAGAGAGCTGATCTTGTCTGTATTGATGGAGGTGGAGCAGGGTGAAGAGTGGATGTGAACTACAGGTGGTAAAAGCTTTCTGGGTGGGCACTCTGCTCTCTGAAGCGGCCTCATTAGTATGCCACAGAGGAAGTCAGGAGGGACCTGGATGGTGAAGTACACTAAAAGGGATTCGATGTCCGTCTTTCTGCATACTTGATACCTCAGTGTGCCCCAGGATGCAGTGCTCTTAATCTCATCTTCATCAAGCAGAAAACATGCAGTGCCATGGCAGCAACATTGTGAGGCTACTCTGGAAAGCTCCACATGTGCTGAAATAAAATCCAGTGTGCTGTTACAGTAAATCAGTCGCGCTTAGAGTATACGTCAGCAGATCCATTTGTATTTGTATGGAGCCCGGCAGTGCTTAGTTGTTAGAGGACAGTAAAATACAGTATTAGACTGTAAGACAAACAAAAGATTAGAGAGAGGTCTGAAAAATGAATTTTGGGCTTTGTTTATGCTCAACAATCTCACCTCAATGTCCATGAGTAGAAGGTGTTCTGGACCTTTCAACGACATTACATGATCTTCGTCATCATGTAGCGTTTGTGGAAGTGTAAATCTTAACTTAAGTAAACGAACAGAAGTATTTTCAGCAAAATGTACTTAAAGTATCAAAATAAAAGCACTAAATCTGCTGTGAGTGAGTGATTTATTAGAGTCAAGTATATTATATTATTGGATTATGTGTAAGTAACATTTTACTATTCATTGGTTGAGGCGGAGATAATTTGATTTACTTTATATACCATTAGGGAGTTTAATATGTAACAGTAAATTGTATCTTATAACCTCGTGTTTTTTTTATGATGTAAAATCATAAAATGCAAAGTATCTGTAGTAAAAAGTAAAAGTTGGAAACCATCACTTAAAATAGTTATTTTCATGATTTTTTTTTTTTTTTTTTAATTTACAAAACTGTGACTTGTTTTTTTTTCTTCAGGGCAGGTTTTTCTGGCAAGTGAAGATTGGCTACACCATTGGCCACAGTGTTTCCCTCATATCTCTCACCACAGCTATTGTGATCCTCTGCATCTTCAGGTACGTAGGAATACAGTCAGATATGAACATATATAACGTTTTTTGTATGTTCAAGAATTTGCACGATTTACATAATAGCATGTTGCCCATAATGCTTCCCATAATGCTTTTGGGACTATAAACAGGAAGTATAAATTGCCATTGAGTTGTTGTTTTTTTAGCATATACTGTGTGTTTACATTTAGGCAAATTGGCACCATTAAAACTATGCTGAATTAGCTGTTAGCAGTTCCTGTTTGCGGTTTTATCACTGATGAAGAAAGCTTAAAAACGTGATGATTCCAAGGCAACTTCTGCAGTTTAAAGAGCGTCTTTCTATGATTTGAAAGGAGATTTATGGACATGTATTCACCACGTGTAAGTCACATTCAATCTAAATTTAAGTTTGTTATGTCTGTGTGTTCTAATTTGATAGAGTTTTGACTAAAAAAAAGTTAAAATGGCGGCACAAATTGTGGTAACCAGGCGGCGGTGAGGGTTTTAAATTACGCCCACCTGCAGTATTGAACACTTTGCGCTGTTGACTTTTATAATGCCTGATAAATAAACCTGTTTCCTTGCCTCAAGTGGTCAGAAGAAGGATAAAAGGCTAGAATAAATAACAAAAAGAACAAAAGCAGCCCCCGCTGCAGGACCCTGCCGAGAGCGTTAGTATGATCAATTCACCATAAATCGTGATGACATTGACGGTAGGCCTGCTGGGCATATGGACAACATGACAGTTAATACATTTTAGTGTGGCACATCAAACACTGTGAACTGGGATTTGATTATATCTGATCAGTGCAGCTCCAAGGCTTATGTTAAACTGAAAGGCAAAAAGAAAAAAACAAATACTTCTAAACCTGATGATCCTTTCTTGCAATTCAGTCTCTCGATCTTTTGACGGCACATGTCTGCAGCGGTTGGGAGATTAAAGTGGATGAGAGAGAATGACGTTTGATATTTCACGAGTCGGGGATTGATCGTATAAGCTTCTTGGAGACCATTACTGTTTTGATTACGGGGATAACGGAGATCACAGCTTTAGATAGCGAATACTTCCTCCTTCAGGACAATTAATAGACAATATATACAGGGCATGACTTGTAACCTAATTATCTTTATTGTATGTAACTTCTTCTTCTGAGATTCAAGCTTTGAACAACCAAGAATGTTACAAAGAGATAAAAAAAAAAACCCTTTAATGTCTAATAATCGATGGATGGTCTTCATTTGTGCACATATTTATTCTTTTGTGCTGCATTTTGTCACTGAAAACACTGTATTTGCTCAGCTGCAAAAATCCCCAAAAGTACCCTTTAGCTTGTTACATGACTCATCCTCTAAGATCACTTCGCCAAAGTAATGTGATGCAATAAGTATTTTCATTCTTTTATCCAGTCAGCCGTTCCCTACCATATACCCTTCTGTACAGAGAGGGAGGCGAACAGGAAATTACTTTTTTTTGTAGAAGTTTCATTTGTCTCCTCTGCTCCTAGGTCACTGACCAGAGCTTCTTTTCTTATTTTTCACAAAGATGTGAAAGTGTGTCCACCTGAGACTTTTGTTTGCCACAGGCCAGGACAAGCTCATCATAAAAAGAAGGTGAAAGCAAAGCAAACAACAGGTTTGAGCCAGAAGGAGAGTCACAACAGGGCAGTGGGAGGTGAGGGGAGCCGAGGGGCTAAATAATGAGGTGTATTAATGAGTGTTGGTGGGATGTGGAGAGTCTCACCTATTTCTCAAAGACACCACTGATTATAGGTAGGGATCAAGAAAATGGTCTGTTTGCACCAATCTCTTGAAAATAGAAGCTTTTACTTTATTGAGCAGATGTCACATCACTTCCTGTCTAAAACCTTCGTTCTACTAGCTTCTGGAATGGAAAACCATATCTGTTGTATTATGGAAAATTACAAGGCTGTTGTCTGTATCCAGCACAGTGATGGAGATTAGATCTCACATTTGCCCCCAAAATAAAAACAAATTATTACACACATGATATTTTTATCACTTTCTTTCTGCTGAGCGTTCTTATCGCTCAGTATGTGCCACGACAAGTTAGACTGTGATTTAATTCAGCCACAAAACGTCTCCAAATATCTAAAATTGGACAGAAATGTTCACTTTGATATTGTAGAGGAAAACAAGCATGTAATTAAATAACAGGTATTGTCATTTTAAACTGCTGTGACAGAATGTTGTTACGCTTTTCTGGCTGCGAGATAAGATTAAACTTTAATGATTCCTGAGGGGAAGTGATTGGGCATGTGCTGCCAGAGAACAAGCATAAACAAACGATCTGATCTAACGAGAGCCTTGACACAGCTGCAGACGTCCGTGTCCCTCTCTCAACCTAATCATTTAATCGTCTCAAGTATGATAATGTAATCAGGATGTCAAGAAGTATTAAAAAATCAATGCTGGAGCATTTCAATATGTTTCTGATTCGTCATCTTGAAACCCACCTCTCTCGTCTTCATTGGCGAGGTGTGTGTGAACGACCATAGAAACGCATTCATGGTGCTCTAAAGCAGATCCACCCACACGGTGATAAATGGAGCTTATAAGCTCAATAATGAGTGGAGTCGGTCTGTGATTTGCTGTGACAGTATGTTAAGCCATTAACTCCAAGGACATTGGATAATAAACACGAAGGCCTACTTTATTGAATTGTGTGTGTGCTGTCTCTTTGTCTTGATCTATACAACTCTTTCTGTGCATCCTAGGAAGCTCCACTGCACAAGGAACTACATCCACATGCATCTGTTTCTGTCATTCATCCTGAAGGCCATCGCCGTGTTCATCAAGGATGTCGTCCTCTACGACGTCGGGGAGGTGGACAACTGCTCCTCGGGCTCTGTGAGTGAATCGCCAAAATTGCGTCTGTTGTTCGCTGCGGGTGTTTTTTAAGGATGAACGGTTCTTGTTGTCCTTGAACCCTGACGAAGTCAAACTCTGTAAGAAGCTCAGCGGGTCAACATGACACTTGCAGGCTAATTATCCACATTAAACCGCCATTAATGAGATATCTCATGAGGTCAAATGTGGATGAAAATGTGGATTTCTGTCGTCCAGATATTTGACAGGAGATCAGTAGGGAATTTAAGTTGCTCTGTCAAATGCCCACTTTCACTAATACAAGGACCAAATCAAGTCAACGCATAGTTTAGTATAGTTTGATCAAAGTTTTACAGTACATGTGAGCTTCAAGCTTGAGTACAAGACAATTCTCAATATCCTTTTTGACTATAAATAACTGAGTCAATTGAGGTATTTTATTGCCTAGGGATATAAAATGAATCGCTGTATGAATCTGTTTTATTGCTCTATTGCATCTGTAGATATTCTGTTGCTTTATTAGTAGGATTTGCTAATTAGAGCCCGACTTTTAGGGCCAATAAGCCACACGATATTACCAACCTCAGAGCTCCAGGGGGCCCTAAAGTTCCTGGCATACGGTGCTTTAATTGTTTGTGGGAGTATGCAGCACTTAAGTACAATACCTACAGAATTAACAAGGACTCAATTTATTACCTGACGTCTTGAAGAGAGTCCCTGTGTCAGCTTAACATCTAGTTTTAAGACCCCAATAATTCCTAACGTGTGTTTTTTTATGATCAAATAGCCAGATAGTATTCCAGCATGGAAACATGAAGCATGGTGGTTTAACAGGGCCCTAGGTTAATTCAGCAATACCAGTCACACTCATTTTGAGAGGGTCATACTCAAGTCGTGAGTAGTTGACAACAAAAACAATACGATTACAGAATATTGAAATATGAGTCAAAATTCAGCCTAGCTGGCATTCCAAAGGAGGGTTAAACCAATGGGACAAGACTACCCTTAAATAATGCTAAGTTTACAATCCATTTTATGCTTGGACTTCTATCAAACCACAATGTTTCCACCGCCACCAACACCCCATCGCATACCGTTGAGCCACACACCCACAGAGACCCCCGAGGCCACAGTTGGGCCTGCGAACACAAGGTTTATGTTACATGATGTGGCCACAAGACAAGACGGGCCTCTGAGTGTATTTATTAGCGAGCTCTCCGGCTGTCTTCATAGCGTTAATGGAACTATAGGGATGACAGGAGCCAGCTGCTGTCATAGGTCGGCTGAAACAGACATTATAAAGACGGGTTTGGTGCTACAGTGCTCATGACCCTGGCATTACTTCCCTTACCGCTGTTGGCTCGGTTACTGTCGCTTTCTGTCTGTCTGTGTGTGTGTGTGCGTGTGTGTGTGTGTGTGTGTGTGTGTGTGTTCGGCATGCTTGGTTCATTACCCTTCTTCTGCAGATAGATGTTTGCCGTTGCGACCCATTAGATTCATTCATGATATAATTGCTGTAGGGAGGCTTACAACAATTGCATTATTTAAGGTATGTGTGTTTGTCACTGTGTGTGTGTGTGTGTGTTCTTCCACATTCCACTGGTAGTAGGCTTTTTTTTATATGGTGCTGCAGCAAACAATGAGTATTGGTTTGCACACATTATAACTAGCACAAAGGTTCAGGCAGCCCATCTGGGTCAGTCTTCTTCCCCTCAAGATGCCATGTGGGAATCAATTTTTATAGACTACTCAATATCCCTGTCAGCTTGACTGCCAGCTGCTTTAATACTTAGCATCCATGTATAAGAAGTGGGTGCCAGAAAACAAACCGAGAAGGAATTATTAATAATGTATACATTTCTACTAGTAGCCTAGGTGTATTCGACTCAATAAACAAACTCACCAGCCACGAATGAGAGGCAGAGCTGATGTCAGGAAGAGTTTACACTATTGATTACCAGCTTCAGCAGGTCCTCCTAATAACAGTAGAAGAACAGTGCAGATCTTTAATTTAAGTAAAAGCAACGTTACCACCAAGACCTTCGCTCCCAGAGACACCGAGTGGATGCAGACAGCATTCGCAGTAGAATCAAGTCCATATGTATTCTGCCGTTGACTTATGGTATGCCCATCTTATTGTACGAGTACTGCCAGTATACATCCGCACAATGTGTGTAAAATGTCAGGTTGAGTCAAGACGAGTGGTATTTTGCAGTGTGTTTTCACTGTTATTTCGTGGCTTTTTGTGTGTGTGTGCTCCTGTTTGTGCTTTAATGTCAGTGGGTTGTTTCTGCTGTTGCATTATTCATATCCACTCGGTTTTGTTTCTTTATCATATTTGTGTTGCCTTTACCTCTGTGTCCCACATATCCATATCCATATCCATAATGTGCTTCCTACCAATTCATCTCACACCTTGCTACACCTGCTAAAGTGCTCAATGCATTCAGGGTCACTATCCACATTTTTAAATGTGCACAGTATTGATTTTTTCTTATCTTCGTGATGCCCTCCCGGTAGCATCTCTGGGATCCTGAAACAGCTTGTGTGCGGCTCCTGGAGTGTATATCAGCCTGTCAAAGAGTGGCACGCTACACACATCAGCTCAGCCCACCCACACCATTAGTAAAATGAACCTTTTATACGCATCCTTGTGTAACAAGTTCAACAGCAGCCTCGCAGTTCAGCGTTCGGCAGCAGCAAACTGAATTTTGAATGAATTCACCCATCCTGATGGAAGTTTTGTGCTTTTTGTGCTGTCAGCCAACCAGAATGGAGCTGATTGTGTTATCCTGCATGGTTGTTTCTGTTGTTCCGCTCTTGTCCTTTTGCTCACTGAAATATCTGTGGGAACATTTCTGCACTTTCCTATTTCACAGATGTTATATGTTGCATGTATTGTTTATATCACAGCGCGAAATACTGATGTTGGATAGAAGACAGTTTGGTATTCTGCATTTGTAATTGATTAAATAGTACCACATATTTTCTAATAAGACATCCTCTGCAAAGGGTTCACAAGGACAAACAATTTAGCTTTAAATACATTTCACATGTTCAAATGGAAGTCCCGTATTTTACTCACTGACATCATAGTCATCATTCTGCTTCATCTAAATGCCACAGAGGAGAAATCCTCATCATTGGGCATATGTTGAGGAAATACAGCTGCTAATATTATAAATAATATATATATATATATATATATATATATATATATATATATAAAATGACTACTTTAACGCTTTGTTTATTACTTCACTATTAGCCTGCCATCATTTGTAATTCACTGATGGTTCATTCATGTGATTGAATGCTCAGAGATAAAGTCAGTGATGCCTTTGTGTGGGCAAAAACTGATCGGCTTATTTATTACAGACTGCAACAGACGAAAATAAATATGTGTATTCTTCCACTTTCTAAATGCAATTCTGCTACAATAGGGAGTGAAATTGCCCTGTAATATCCTCCACTCCACTAAAATTGTAAGATGTTTTTGTGTCTTTTGTCCATTGCCAGGTTGGCTGCAAAGTAGTGATTGTGTTCTTCCAGTACTGTATAATGGCCAGCTTCTTCTGGCTGCTGGTGGAAGGCCTTTATCTTCACGCATTGTTGGCCGTCTCTTTCTTCTCTGAGAGGAAGTACTTCTGGGCTTACATTCTGATCGGCTGGGGTGAGAACGCATTCCTTAGGTCTTTATTTGAGACCTCAGCTGAAGACCAACCACAGGTTGTGTGACCCATACCAGTGGGGTGCAATAACTTTAGTGGACACTTATATATCTTTTTTTTATTTTTATTATGTCCCTAGGTGGTCCAACAATTTTCATCACAGCTTGGAGCATCACTAAAGCCTACTTTAATGATGTGGGGTAAGAAATAAACACCAAGGGACTGCTAGAGTCCAGTTTAAAATCTACGTCTGATTTTGCTTTGATTTCATCTTGTGCATGAATATTGTTTCATTCTCCACCAGGTGCTGGGATATAATCGAGAACACTGATGTGTTCTGGTGGATCATTAAAACTCCTATTTTGGCGTCAATCCTGGTAAGTCCAGTCAATTTCCATTACATCAACATCAATGCACCTTCAGCTGTTGACACTCTCAAGCCAGACTTTACCAAAGCAAAAGTAATTGCCACTGAGAAAGAAAACATCCTTGTCAGTTATCATTAGTGCACCTTAGACTTACCTGTCAGTGTAGGTTGTCTGCATGCTTTTAAACTCCATATTGTCTTTGGTATTCCTGCTGTATGTCGACACAACTGAGAGTTTGTTACGGCAGGATAATCACAATCCATTTGTCTTTCTTGTCCTGCCATCGTCTTCTTCATCTACAGAGGTTGAAGAAAGGAATATTTGTAGATGTGCTCAGTGTGCCCTGGAAAAAATAGTCTGACATTTAAATGTGCTTTAGGTGTTAAAGGATTCGACATTATTTGCTCATCCAAGAGTTATGTCAGCTTTGAAGGGATTATAGATATAATGAACTTTGGATAAAACCAAGCTAGCTGTTTCCCTCTGCTTCCAGTCATTATGCTAAGCTACTAAACTGCCTTCATTTTTAGAAATATGCCTATTTGCTCTCTTGCCACGAGTTATTTAAGCAATAGCTCACGACAGGCTGTGGTATGTTGTGATTATATCACCTAAGGGGCGTTGTTCGGCCCGACGTGAAGCTCTGGAGAGAGAGTTCACACTTATGGCCATGCGCCCGTTAATCTTAAATGTGTCCATTTCGTAACAGGTTTTAACAGCTAACTTTGTTTCTTTAACCTGCTTCCATTTTGGTTGAAGTTATTCCCTTGTGACCATGGACTGTATGTGACACTGTTACTAAGCAAATATGACAACGCATTCGTCTAAGACGTGGAGTGGTACTTAAAGTGCAAAGAAATTGGACGTCATAGCAGTGGTATGTGATTGTTATATCACGGCTATGAACCAATCAGATTGCTTGATTTGAGCTACATACATACACACATATACATATGTGTGTGTGTGTGTGTGTGTGTCACTGTGAGTGAGGAAGACACTATCAAAGAAGTGTGAAAAGGAGGGTTAAAATGAGTTGAACAAGCAGGACTCGAGAAGCTTCAGTGGAGTGTGTTAAGTGGTGAGAAGTACAATTATTTACAGTCAATGACCTGCCTCTCAGCACAACATTTAGACACTGCTTTGTGTTCTTACCTGTAGATAAATCTCAGATTATACTTGGATCTTAGTTTGTTTTTAGGAAGTTGTATAAAAAATATACCAAACACCAGAGTACTTTTTGACGTTTTTACTTTGTGGTGATGTCCTGCTTTGCCGGTCTTTGCTCGGCAGCAGACACAGCAGGTTTAGTTGTGTTCTTTCACATTAGGATCAGGATCAGCAGCCTGGTTGTCAGACCTTTTTATCTGCAGCCGCTCTGACTGATGTTTGTGCAAAAGCGCACAGGTTTGCATATGGACGGTGAGGACATGTCCCAACCAATATTTGAGCTAACTTGTTCACATTATCTTTGGTGTGAACAGACACACAAACATACAGAAGAGCAGTGGAGCAGAATCACTTGTTGACCAGTGCAGAGAAATGTGCTTCTGTTTTGAACAGCTGCATATCGTGGCGTATCCTGTCGCAAACATTCCTCCATATCCATGAGTTTAGAGACTGAAAACATGTAGAGGTGACTTTGAAACCAGCTTGTCCATGTACAAATTTCGTATCGAAAAAGTAGCACTAAATCCTATTCACATTGTAACATATCCCTACTATACTATCCTCAAATCTCCACAGATGAACTTTATTCTATTCATCTGCATCATACGAATACTTCGCCAGAAAATCAACTGCCCAGATATCGGAAGAAATGAGTCCAACCAGTACTCGTGAGTATAATTTATATATAAGTTATAAGTCGTTTTCATGCTGTGAATTTGTAGAATTAATTAGCTCAGATAAGATTAAATATTGCTGATCTCTGAAAGGATGTCGGAAAAAATCTGCACCACTTCAACGGTTTCTGTCTTGGGCTGAATTCGGTCCACATTCTGTGAAAATTAGCTGCATTTACGAAACAATGATTATCTCCAAAGCTGAGAGTAAGATGTACATAAATGTCCTGTAGGCTCAACATTAGCTCTAAATTAAATAGTTTTTGTGGCTACTTTTAACTTTTTATGCTCAAAGCAATGCAAGGATGACCAATCCTTTTTCAACTTCAGAAAACAAATTTATCGCCCGCCTTGGCACGAGGTACTCAGCACAGTAGCCTTTCCCTGGCAGCTACTTTGCACAGAGATATAGAGCTCTATGTGTTTAAGTGTTTCCCTGTGATGGAGAGCATCTCATAAGCCAGCCATAATGCATGAGCTATTTTCCCACTGACACTTTTAATGGAGTATTTTTCCATATCTGGTCCTCGGAGCTGAAATGTAAAATGAAAAGTACTCTGGAGTTGCATTCCATTATTGGCATATATAGAGACGGATTGAAAATTGGTTTCACCGGAGGGAGAAATTTGTTTTTGTTTTCTGCTTTGTTGTTTCAGGAGGCTGGCGAAGTCAACGCTGCTTTTGATTCCTCTGTTTGGGATCAATTTTATCGTGTTTGCGTTCATCCCAGAGCAAGTGAAGACTGAGCTACGACTGGTTTTTGACTTGATTTTGGGTTCATTTCAGGTATGACATCAACTTTATTGGTGATGTATGAAAAAAATATTTTAAAAAGCTTCTGCATCGTAATTTTACAATTTTAATCCAACACCAAAACCCACTTTTTTTTCTTGAATTTCCAAATCAAACTTCATTCAAGTAATGATTTGGCTTCCTGTCAGCCCCGACCTGCCAGTGTTTCTACTGAAGAAACCGTGGCAGGTCTCCAGGGCCTTTGCTGGCCGATTCAGTGGCAGTGTTACTGCCCCTCGGCTATTTCTGTTCATCACATATTGAGAAATGATGTAGAAATGCAGCCAAACAGCACAGCTGCATTACAGACCGTTTGGAAACCAAGGAACCTTTTCCAGCTCATTCTCACTGTCATTATTCTCATCCCTTTTTCTCATTATTACTGTAAACTAACAATCCTTCATAATGCATAGTTTTTCCATTCACGTCTCATGAATGCCACATGTTATGCTTCAATTCGCAAATTTTGTTCCGACAATATAAACAGATATAGCAGGAGCTTTCACCACGACACACACTGTTATTGCTCTTTTAACTTTGTATTTCTTTCCATTTAGGGCTTTGTAGTCGCAGTCCTTTACTGCTTCCTCAACGGAGAGGTAGGCAGCCCCCTCACAGTGATGTAAACACTGTTTGTATAAACACACTGCTGAAAGATTTCCATGCAGAGATAGCAAAGTGTTGCTTCTCAGAAAATGTAGTTAATCTGTAGTTTTTCTGTGACTCCCTCTGTGCGCCACTTCCATTTACAAACAGTCCTGAAAGGTGGACGGAGCTGTTAGTATGAGTCACCAGCGCTGGTTGCCTCCCTTGGACCTCCTCGCTGCATATTTTCTGCACTCAGCATGGAGGGTGGGAGGGCTGTAAAAAGCACAGCCTTCTTGACAGCGAGCTATTTGGTAATGTCTGCAGAGGCTCTCTGTTAGTTATTTTCCCAGTGCTGAGCCAGATTGAATCACAGTGATGGGTTGGATGGCAAGGCTTTGACACTATGCTGTCTGAATTTGAATCTGCAATTTTCGGCTGTAAACGCTCTCCACTCCAAACCTGATCTTCTCCTCGGTGAAGTCCTCGTTCTCGATGTGAGCCTTGGCAGTGTACTTCGACAAAATACAGAAATTACAATAATTTCTACTTACATGAAAACACAATTGAACAAATGGCATAAAATAACTGATAAAAAATAATAGGTAAAGAGACAAAAAAGCCCAAGAAGGGTTTATTCATTACCTCTACCTAAATATGAAAATATACACCATGTCAAAAGTACTCAGTTGCCAGTTTATTAGGAACACTTATTATAGTTAAAACTAACACAGTGTAATGCAGCAGTCCTGCATTGATTCCAACCTTCATGACGCTTATAGTGTTCAGTGTTTGTTGAAATTAAAAAAACAAAGGTATGTGTGGTTTTGCAACCCCGTAAAACAGAAAAGTTTTGAGCTGTTTTCTGCCAGTTATTTCACGTAATTGGTGCCAAATGCATTAATCACACGGTCGACTGTTGCTCATCAGCTGTTGCCCTCTCTAGTTGAATGATCTTGCGGTTTTTGCATTTCCTCGTGTTGCTCATATTGTGATATGTAACATATCAGTAGTGATGCGGGCGTTGTACTGGACCGTCAGTAGAAGCTGAGCTGGAACGCAAAGCTCTGGATTTACCTGTACATCCACACTCCAACCCTCACATGTGGTCACGAGCTTTGGGTAGTGACTGAAAGAATAACGCGGATTCATCGGCCGAAATGAGTGTTTCAGTTACTGTTATGAGATATGCCACAACTGTAAAATGACACATGCAAAAAAAAAAACCTACATGGTAAACCACTCGCTGTATTTCAGTATTATTGTTCTAATCCCTTGTAGGTCCAAGGAGAGATCAAGAGGAAGTGGCGAAGGTGGCACCTGCAGAGATACATGGGCTCGGACACCAAATACCAACAGCCGTCAATTGGCAACAGCAACAACTTCAGCACCCAGATCACCATGTTGACACGATGCAGCCCGAAAACCCACCGGGCCTCATCCTCCTGTCACGACGACCTGTCTAGCATATGACCCACACAAACGGTGATACAGACATTACATGCTGTACAAAATACTCTCATGGCAAACATTCGGCAGCAAAAGAAAGACGCACCGCCTCATTAGCACATGCACTCTGGGATGATGTGTTGCTTGAGTGATGTGGAAAAGGGAAAGTGATGAGTCGGAAATAGAGCGGCAGCTTCTAAGCAGCTTTTAATCCCCACGCTTCTTAAAAAGACTCGGTATAAGTGACAAAGATACAGGCACATTGCTTCACAAGCACAGCTTTTGCACATGTGAATGAGAACCATTCACTCGTTTGTTTTTCAAGATTCAGCGCACATGCACAGATGAATTTGCGAGTCTAGTCATTATGAGTCATTTGGTCAGTCGTTCATGTCGCTCAGACACCAGGCAATGCAAAACGTCACAGATTAATGGGGTTAGGTGAGGGAATCCAATTGTGAGCTGCACCAGCAATCTGATGTAATTATGCGTTGATTAAAAAATACTTAGTGGATTCCTGCCGCAACAAATGAACAAGGCTGGTGTGAAGACACGGCCATTAGGAGAAAAGGAGCTGATGTTTTTTTTTTTAAAGAAAATTATAATTATTATTATTGTTAGTGAGTGCAGCGACATCACAGTCAAAGTACCACAAATGTGTTATGGGGAGAGTTTTTGAATGTAAGTATACTTAGTGATCGAAGTATGTTTTAAGCATATTTTTAGGCGACCAAAAAGAACAAAAATGTTTTTTTTTTCTCCATAAATGGCAAATGAATGAGCTTTCAGACCAGGTGACCAGTGTGATTCTGATTCACAGTGATGGGTTTGGAGTATGAATGCCCTTCTCTGCACTATCACTCTCACGAGAGACTGATTTCCCTTTGCATTCCCCTTTTATTCAGTACAGTCCTCACCTCTTGTATTTTGTGTGATTCCGAGCCGGTGGATTGTGGTCGTTTTCTGTTGAGGCACAGGGACAGTTTTGTGCCAATCTCTGACGAGTGCCTGGTTTCAGTGTTTTGAAGCGACTCTTTTAATCCAATCTTCACTGGCTGTCGGCTGCTCTGGAAAGTAAATGCCTTTTTAAAGGTGCAATGTGTAAGATATTGACAGAATTTTCGTTGAAAACAAAAACAAATGAACTATCATTATCAACAGACTGTGAGGATGTTAGCGTGTTTGTTGAGTATGATCTGTTTCCGTTTTGGTTGTTTATTGGAACAAATTCAAAGTGACAAACGACGAAACGACTTGCACGCTCAACTCGTCCTCACTGCTGCCGAGAGGCTACTTAGCCGTGAGTACGGCGTGTCACGGTAAACACACTAGGCCGACGCCACACACAAAGATTATAAGACAGCAGTGTTGTTTTTACCGGCTCTCACAGCAGTTTGGTTGAATTTGATGTATTCTTGCCCTGCTGTCATAACCGATGATTGTATGAACCCAGTATTTGAGGTAAAATGCTGCACCTATTTCTTTTGGAGCAAGTAGCTCAGTATTACACATTGCACCGTTTAAGCAGTTCAGGTCATGAATGTTTACATTTTCTCTACAGTAGTCATTTAACATTGTACAGCCAAAAATATACAGTGTAAAGAAAATGAATTGCTATGGATTGTTGTGCTATATCATATATCAGTAATGTGACTGTAATTGATGTTTGTTCATTTGTTGTTTATGTAGCACTCCGTGGCTCAATGCTTAGCGTAACAGCTAAATAGAAGACGCTGCATCACACTTGAAATCACTCCTCAGACTTGTACAGAGAAGCTGTCTTGGTGGTGCTTTGGTAGATTATCCATTTAAAAAAAATATTTACTGTTTGAAACTGCTCCACTGGAGGAGTTTGAACCTGACATGTCAGTAGAGACTATTGGAGCCGATATGTAAAGCAAAGCAAGGTGACAGGGATGACTGGTCCTGTCACAACGATGCTGTCATCGGGCTTTTAAGATTACAAGGTCAGACTTGAAAGTCACATAAATGTTCATGCAAGAGGGAACATACAGGAGGTCCAGCTGTACCTGGAGGAAAATAACATAATCTCAACCCGCTGCTGAACTGAAGGGTCAGTGAAGCCAATGCATGCTAATATTGATCTTAGAAATGATGTACAGCAAAGGTCTCTCTATATATATATATATACGTATATGGGATGTTTTGCTGGTGACAAAAGTGTAAAGAAATAGTACAGTACAACAGTTTTGGAAATATTCACAAAAAAATGTATTTCACACTCTTATAAGAAATGCATCAATCTTATCTTCTAATTCCATTCAAGAGAGCAAATAAGAGTATTTCCCAAAATTTCTATTTCTAACTATTCCCTTAAATACTCATCGTTGTCTTTGGTGCCTGTCTTTGGTAGTCAGTCAAGTTTAATTTAATTTGGTGAATATGCCGATGTACCTCTCATAATGGTGAATGTAAATAGGTTTGTATACCGAAGAAGCGATCCAAGAATACAGTGTTATAAAATGAATTCAAGGCTGTTTCTAGATATTATCTTTTAGTGTTTAGGTGACCTGGTTGTTTTGTATCAGTGAGCTAATATTAAGTGATATTTAATCAACAATCATTCTAATGTGTAGCTACTTACAGTTAGTATTCAGTACTGAAGCATGTTAAGTATAGATTTGTTCATTTGCAAACTGGATATTGTGTTGTTTAAGATTTGACAGTTGATTTGTTAGTGCAGTAACACTGGTGCAATGCATACCATTGTGATGCTACAAATGTACTGTAAGTATTTATTAACTTAGGTTTACATTTCTGTACACATAAGGCCACTTCTTAGTTTTTTAAATAAGCAGGTTTTGTTTCATTGTTATTTTTATCAATATTATCTCGGCAGGAAATTTTACTTTCCATAAATTTCCGCCACTGTTCCACTCAAACTGTATGAAATGAATTATTCAGAAATATACAAGATGATGAAAATTGAATTTTGTACTGAGATTATGTTAAACTCCGCATCATACTTTGCTTCAACATTGCTTAAAAAGATACAAAAGAGCACATCTCTGATTGAGTGATTGCCTCAAACAAAGGCAACAGTGCCGACAGAGCAGTGTTTACCGGAGAGGAATCAGAGGGCGGACGCCACTCTACACGACCTAAATGATCTCATTAGTCGACCAAGTCAAGACTTTCTGCACCATGAACAGTTGTCATGTCCTCCTTGACTGTAACACTGTCGCCTAATTGAAGCTTATTTTCATAAGTGCCCTCTGCTGCTTGACAAGGGCCTGGCCTACAGTTGATTTTTTATTTTTATTTGACTCCCACGGAGGCTCAAACGGAAGTAGTTCATGCAAAAATGCTATTCCTTGGTCCCTGAAAAAAGACAATGTTCAAGTGTTTTTCATTTATAATATTCATATTTTATACAACTACCTCTCTGAAGGTGACTTCATCGAATGTCTGCGCCTTCAGTAAGCAAGCAGACAGCTTGATGTTCCAGCTGATATAACTGGTCAGAAAGCAGAACATTGCGTTCTTTCGGAAACAATGTGTTTATGACTGCTCAAAGTGTTCGCGTCTCCAGCTCACAGAGAGGAATTATCCCAGGGAATTACTGTACTTTATCACTTCATTGTGGTCACAGTGCCCTTACAAGGCAAAAGCGTCTGAAAAAACCTTGTAATACTTTTTAAGGGCTTCAGATCTCAGCTATATCCAGTCAGAAAACAATGATGTAAAGTAAATAGTACAATAATACATTTATTTGTATACTTTGAGGTAGGTTACTTGTATTTATTTTGAGTATTTCGTGCTTCTTTATACTTTAGCTCCACTACATTTCAGAGGGACACATTTTACTACATTTTACTACACTTACAGTTTATATGAGGGGTGTATGGCACCGCTTAACATATTTCAATTCTGCGTTTAAAACACGAATGAAATCATTAAAATGATGATTGCTATAGTTGAAACTACCTGTAGTTTGACTTGCTACAACACCATTTAAACACGCGGCACATTAATGCTGCAACAATTTAAAGGCACAACCTGAAATGGAGAACAAACCCACCACTGAAATTCAAAACGCAGGATTGGACTCACTTCCAAATGATTCCACTTTTTGTTTTAGAGGCAACTATTCTATGTTATTAATGTTTTCTAATGCTGTCAGTTTGTTTTCATAAGTTTACACAGCAGTAAAACAGACCTAATATTCAGCTAAAAGATCAGAGATGTTAATCTGTCGGTCTAAATGCTTCAGTTTTTTAATCATATATATTTCTAATTTATGGTCAAACTTAATGATTACTTTTATTTTCGGCACATTTTGCTGTTTATACTCAAGTCAAATTTTGAATGCAGGACTTTCACTTGTAATATAATACTGTGTACAATCTCTACCCTTCTCAGTACTTCTTCGCCCACTGGGCAAAAGGATCTGAATCATTCTTCCTGTCGGAAATCAAAGCAACTTTCGCTCCAGTTCCTCCCAACGTCGGTTGAACTTCAGCTAGGCTACAATGTTTGACAGGAATAACTTGCCCGCTGAGTTTGCTTTGGTGTAATGAAACTCCAGCTATTTGAGTTAATCCGTCTGTTGTCCCTCAGGTTTATTGGTTCAATCACTGCCTTTGAGCACAGCGGGTCATGAAGAAGAGCGAATTCAGCCAGGGCAAAATGCTATGTGCCGTAAAAAGATCAACAAACACACCATGCCATGGGGTCTAATGTTTCATTAGCTTTCTCCATGTAGTGGAAATGAGCGTGCCCATAATGCCATTAATTATTATGAACTGTAATGATTGTGAATAGAGGGATTTGCAGATTTGGATGTTGCTGCATGAAATATTAACACGATACAGTGTATTAAAAACAACAACCAAATGTGTTGAAATATGCTGATCAAACTGATAACAAATGTGCTGTATTGTTGTAGATGATGTATTTGATACATTTTTGTCTGGATTGATAAACTCTTAAGTATGTCAGATAGCTTAAAATTACAGCCGATAGAGTGACTTTCGGTCAGAATTCAGTTATTTTTAGACTCCTAGTGACTCTTAAAATGTGAGACAGGTGTCTCGCCTTTAGACATTTCCAATATTCATGACACTGATTAAATATTCATGTCAAAAATAAAGCATTGTAAAGGATCAGCGACTGAGGAAACAAGTTAGCTCTGTCCAAATGGCTAAGAGGCTGCTGATTTAAAGAGAAGCCGTCTGATCTCATCAGATCTCATTTGATCTGAACTGCGGCTCTGAGTCATGCCGCTCAGAGGCAGAGCTGGAGGAACAAGCCACTGTACATCAATGATTTTTTTAATGAACTCCATAGTCGAGAACAATGATGGCAAAAACTCTACTTTCCTCTCTTTTACTCAAAGAGAATGTCTTACTGCAGCTTTGATCTTTTCATTTGCATAGAAGAACACATCACTACCTTGAACTTGCCAACCAATGCCAGCTGGTAGGAAAGAACTAAATGGTCCTGACTGACCCATTAGAAGCGTGCCTTAAGGACATACAGTAGCACAATGGGGTATTACTGGAAATATGCTACAGTATAATGTAACAAAATAGCTTTACACTTGCAGAGAATATACATCTGTTCTAAACCTGTACTTTCATGGTCTAAGCTTTACATCTCAAGACGTTGGGGACGACAAAAAATCCAGAGGGGTGCGGATTAGTAGGAAGTTAGTCGTCACATTTAGCCATTTAAAGACATGTAAAATCTCCAAAATTCACAAGAGGTGTATTCACTGATGTAGCTTATGTCGTAGAACAAAACGTCAGATCTTATTTCAGGCGTCTAACCAAAAACCCATTGACTTTGAGTTCAGTGGAACATTTAGCAGCTGAAGAGAGAGATATTTCCCTCAGGAGTTGGTGGGTATTGGTATTGGTATCCACCTGAATTCATCATTCAGGTGGATACAAAGATCCAGATGATTGCTAATGTTGCACCAAGTATGCAGCCACAGTTCTTTGGTCGCAATGGTGCATTGTTGATTCATCTTGATTTGCAAGGTTAACTCAGTCATGATTAATGCACCACACAATTGTTAGTAAGCCATTCTTCCAGCATATGCACTTACATTCAGTATGTAAAGTGATCCGTCACTGCCATCGCACACTATGGAAGAAACTGTTAGATTCATGTTTGGCCGAGGTGTAAACGAGCTTGGGAAATTGTTCCACACATTTGCACAATGACAGGATGCTTGATCTAACTTTTTGACATGAATACATAATTCACTTTGGGGAAAAAAATGACTCATGAAGTATTTAAAGCATCCCATCTCGTCTGGGTGAAGTGATTGCATTGTATTTACGTCTGGGCTGCGAGAGTTATCGCATGAGGTCGGGGAACTGGTGGTGTGTTTGGAACAGAGGCAACTGGACCTATACGCTGTGTATGCTAGAGGCCTTACACAGTATATGTGTCCAATTTAATGTGTCACAATTAATATAATATAACACTCTGATATAGTGAATACACTATGATTCCAGGGAATTTCACTGAATAGCGATTTAAACTGTATTGAGTAATGAAAATGGACGTTCTTTTCTTTTTCAATTTGCTGTTTCCAATGCGAACAATGAAATTTTAACCTCAGCTTTATCATATTCGCTGCATCTCTTTGGATCAATTGTAGGCAGAAAACAACTTGATAGATGACGCAAGAAAGCAGGAGACTCTTGCAAGTAAAGTTGGTTTGTGATTTCATGCATTGCTGGAGTCGAGCCAGTGAGCAGGGAACATCAAAGACTGGGTTTATGAATAGTTGAACATCCCAATAAGCATAAGGACACGCTGTATAGCCGTTCGGTCCAGACCGGGAATCAACACATCACAGCTGGAACATCGTGTGAATGTAAAAGCTGAGGCATTATTTCTGCAACATTTATGAAAGCACACACTGTGCATCCAAACAATAGAAGAATGCAGAACTGCAAAGGTTTCTGTATTTTAGAATAGTCCATATTTGTGATTATTAAATTACATTAAAGCTCCTATAATATTTTTTCTTTTATACATATTAACAATGGTTCAAATTATGTAAGAGGGGTCTTACAAAACCACAGCACTAATGTTTTGGTTCAGTCTCTCTGCTCACATTGGGGTTGTTTCCAGACGCTTGGCAAAAAAAACAAAAAAACATTGTAAGCTACCGGCAACTGCAGGTAGCAACTAGCTGGGGAGCATTGTGGAGTTAAAGAGTGAGATATTTCCCTCAGATGGAGAGAAAAGCAGAGCTAAAAGGGAGTGGAATATATGACTGAAGGTCGCCATAAACACTACTCTGGATGTGCTGGATGTGTAAGCGACTCTCTCTGTTTACCTTATAAACAATGATGATATGTCTGCTGGGTTTACAGCTGGTTTCCTCGAAATGGCCAAACTTGAGCCTAATGTTAATGTTATCTGTCTGACCACCCAGATACATCATGAATATAAACCCACTGATGTTGAAGCCTATTTTGATATTGGAGACCTCCACAGGGAGACTGCTACGGTCATGGCACCAGGAAATCAGACATGAATAATGTGTTTGAAATGAATGGATATTATATATGGCATATGGGCACTTGACCTGAGACATGAATTAAATAGGCTAGATGAGAGAAGGTGCCAGAGGGACTCACCTTGATTAAATCAATGGCTCAAAGTAATTTCAGTTATTGGAGCTCAAGACTTCCTGCCAGCACATTCAAATATCAGAGAAGAGGTAAGATTGTTTTGGTGGGCATTTGCTGCTGCCACATTTATATCCACTTCAACCATAACAATGGTTCCCAACCTTGTTTTAATCATTAACTTTGTAAAAGTGGATATTAGGCCCACAATAACGACGTTTAGCCTTCATTATAATGTATAGCTAACTTACTATTAGCCTAACTTTTAGTTATTTCACTCTTCCATATTTTTAGTAAATAATTTCAACCATTTATCCATCACGTTTATAGACATATTTTATCCATTTATCCAATTTACCTGCTTTCTATTTCACCTATTTATCCATTGCATTTAATGTTAGCTAATTATTTTAACTGTTTGTCCACTGTTTTATTGCTAGCTATCTATTTTAACCTTTGTTTTATCCATTACTATTAGCCTGCTTGCAAACCAGCTTTCAGGCACTCTCACTCGCAACTTATAGCCAATTATTATTTTGTATTATTATTAAATTGTAATAAATATTTTTGAATTAGTAATGCTACTCCACAGTCTTAGTCAACCAGCGTGCTTGTACAAGCACAAGTCAGCTATACTGTCAAATGTTGCCTGACGTGAATGCAGATTTAATGCCTGTCAGCAACTGTCCGTCAGTGACAACAAATAGCACAGGGACAGGAAACACAGCCCAGTGTGTGTGTGCAATAACCATCACATTTAAGAAGCATTAGACTATTTCTCCTCTACAACACCATGAAAATCAAGTAGCAGACACTGTATTAAATCATCTAAAAGTCGTTTGCTGCGTGTTCTGATATTACTCACAGCTGATAAGGCAAAACATTAAACAACAGCGCTGCTGTTCTGTGAATATGGGAGCAGAGGAGGCACTAGTCTTTGAGCGAGATAAATGTGAGCCATAAACATTTCAGCAGGACCACCCATGCTGTTGAGCCTATTTGTCAAGGCAGAGAGGGAAGCATCCCAATACCAGGAGCTGTGTAGCCAATTAGGATAGAAGAGGTTCATGCCTGCAAATGAGGGTCGCTGAAGCCGATCATTCAGATTGTAGCAGGAGTGATGGCATATTTATGATGGCACTGAGACCTCTGAAGAACATGTTCTATTTGTTTGTAGGTTGCAACATTAAATGTCCTTCTGAAATATGCATGAAAATGCTGACAAACACTCTGCATGCTTAGCGGCTAATGAGACAACTACATCAATGCCTGTAAATATAAGTGCCAATAGGGACAGTGAGTCAGATATTCGTGGGAGGGTTTTATTGGCGTCTCCAGAAATGAAACTGGAGCTTATTTGTGACGTTATCGGAAACCGCAGTGAGGGATGTACAGTAGCTTTAGGTCAAAGGTCTAAACGGTCAATCTATATCTCAGTATATAAGACCTACTCTATTGATGTGAGGAGGATTAAAACTGGATTATCTCTATAATCACTGGGCCCCATGCAGTGAGGCCTTAAAGAGGACTAGAGCTAATGTTATAACTTTAAAAAGTCCTGGATAAAAAAAAAGACATAAATTACTTTGTTTTGATTGTGTTGAAACGGAGTGTTATCCATCACCCTCAAATAGATTTATGTCCTCTGTCTTAAACTGACAGAACACGTCAGACACCACCACGTCACACCAAAAGCTGTCTTCTTTATTGTAACTTTGATCAAAGCCCAAGTCAATATTTTGATGTGCAAGACATTTGCCCGGATTAGAGGCACAAGAAATAAACTTTCACTTTACAAATGCCCTATGTAATATCAGCGCCAGCAGCCTGCAGAGTACGATTGCACTCAACTCCCCAAGCATTGTCTAACCACGGCCATCTGTGTTTGTTCTACAAGTTGGCAACATAAACTGTTTATCTGATGAAAATTAGCAGTGTTTTTAAGTAAACTAAAATGCTAGTTGATTTTGTCATTGAGCAAAACTCTTACATGACTCTACAGATATTTTATCTGGACTTTAAATTAACACAAATTCCTTATAGTCTATTTACAATGGGGATAAAGTATGAAATATTGTACTTGATTTCACTCTTCCAGCTGTTTAAACATCAATGTGAACTTTGATGTGCTTGACCTGTGGCCTAATGTTAATTTGGGCTGAGGCTGTAGCAGAACTTATATTAATAAATATCAACTAATAAAATAAAACTAACTGAACGACACTCTTTGCTGCCACAAACTTCAATGAAGATCAGTAAATTGTGAAAGGGCTCCATCTGGTGTAATATTGGAAAATATACATCAATGAATTTACATTTGATGTTCCAAGTGCTTTGCTTAAAACTCTTCTTATCTGGATGTAGACACACTTTAAAAAGTAAAATAGCCTAATAATAAAAACATCTTTGTGTTGTCTGATCACTGCTGAACATGGAGGTAATCATATCTTAGAGACACACAAATCAAAGATCAACAAATGGAAAAAAGACACTATTTATTAACGAAATGTCAGTTTCACCACAGCAGGAAATAATAAAGCCCTGTGATCACCAGTGTATTTGGCAGTTACAATGAATGACATAGTTACGTCACTTTCCATCGTTACAAACAGGTTGCAGTCACGAAAAACCACTGAATCAACCTCACGAGTCCGATTACAAATAACAGCTTTCTGCTGACTGTGTTTTGTATTGAACATGAAGAAAACGTCCAAATAAACATAATTCTGAACCTGAATGACTTTCAAAGTGTTTCCTGTATTCAGATCAGACTTAACAAACATAAAAAGAGAAGGCTGCCATATGTTTCAATTGTACAGTGAATTTCTACTAAATATTATAAACCATCATAATCAACAACACAATGCTTCATTTCCATTTTGTTTAAATACCCCCCCACATTATTTGGTTCTACATCTTTAGAATATTGGCGGCAACATTATTTTACAATTCATTTGGTCAACAACTTGTAGGCTACAGTGGAAAATGGTGAGTCAGTGAAACCTAATTTGTATCAAATATATTACAGCGTCACCAATGTCCTACACAGAAAACACCAGAAAGTTTCACTTATTTATGGAATTTGAAATGACCCTGATCCAAGAAAACCTCATTTAAACGAGTGTTTGGACACAGCATCAGAAGTCACTGAGCCAGTCCAATTCTCAGCAATTAACCAAAATACCCAGATAGCACAATCTACTTGAGAACAAACTGAAAATGATGAACTCCTTTCATGTAAAATTCCTTCTAACTTTCCTGATAAAATAGTCTAATAAAAAGGACACAATGCCACAACTCTACTTGTCTGACAAACACTATGAACTACTAATCTGCTCCCTCACTTAACTGACATTAGTGCAACTTATTAAATAAATACACAAAATGCTATAAAAAGTAACTAAAAGGAGTATTTGCCTATTCATTACGCAGCGCTACCGTTCTATATGCAGACATAGATTATTACCGTATGATTTCTGTGTTTATTACGATCTACAGGTACTGAGCGGTGTTATAAACCCTGAAGGAAGACAAAAAAAACTCAACCAAGTAAACATAAATCAGGATATAAATAGCTGAACCAGATATGAAACACATTCAAGAACAATTGCCATAACCAACACAAACATATCTAAAGCCTAATAGTGCAGTCAAACATCTTTGTTCCAACAAATTGAAATAGCATTTTACCCGTCGAATCAGTGCTTTCATATTCTGACCCACAGTTCATATTGTGACAATGCAAATATCAATAGAAAAAACAAACAAACTAAAAAAGGTCTAAATGTGTAATGATCACACCAAAATGTGTCTTAAATGGAGTTCATGTGTAAAATTCTCCTTTTATCACAAACTTTGTAAAATAATATGCGATGACATCATGCTTTACATGACTAGAAGACTCATATTCCCTCAGTTTTGAATGTAGTTTTCATTAAGTCATTAAATAAAAGAGCCCTTACATTTGAAGCTTTGCAATGACTAGCTGAGCACTTGCCGGTGTGTTTGTACATAAGTCAACACAATTAAACAAACTAAAAACAATTGTCACACAGTAAGGCATGAAACGACCCACAGCTTTACACTTACGTCTTTGCATTGGGTTCTTATTGTCACCTAATGATCAGCTAATGGAACCCAAATAAAGAATAGCTCCATTGTTCACTTTACTTGACTGTCACTGATATAAATCTACTGTCTGTTACAATCACCAACTGTCACTTAGCATTGATAAACTGATTATGTAAAAGATAAGCAACGGCCTGTGCGAGCAGAAATTATACTGAGCTGAACGTGAGCAGAAATTAATCAAAAGCATGACCAGCTTCAACAGTTAGGGCTTGGATGAAATTATTGTTTCTACATAAAAACAAACACCGATTCTGACTGAAAGAAATCCTTAATTTTCCTCAAAAACCTTCGAGGACAGGATGGCACAAACATTTTGTTTCTAAAACAGACATCTCCTTTTAGCTTTTCCGTTAGTATCTGTTTCCAGAGAGAACTGCATTTTACTGGATACTTTTTACAGTCTTGCAAAGAAATGTACACAAAGTGCAAGTACATACTGTATACAAGAAGAACACGTTAACTTAATTGTCATTTTCCGTGATCACACAAAAGTCGTGAATATGTTTTTTTGTTAAAAAGCCAAACAACATCTTCATAACTCCTGTGGATCAAGACATTTGCTCGCCTGTCTTTCTCACCTGCACCGAAAGAGCTGTGAGTGGTGCAACGCAGTAAAGTGTCCCCTGCTCCTCAGACCCCGCAGTCATTGGTTCTGTCTTGGAGTTTGCGGGTGAGGATGAGGAAGGTGGAGAGGGAGGCGACCGAAATGTGGAAGATCAGCTGCCACGGGTTCCTCGGGCCGAGCAGGTGGAGGTTGCATAGGACAATCGCGATCAACAGAGTGAAGGACCTGGGTTTCTTCAGAGATGAGTGGAACAGGTAGAGGTGGCACTGTGGACACAGAGAGGTCATTGACACGGTGTCGGAGAGAGTTTGACATGAGTGGGTTTTTAAGTTTGCAATGAAAATGGGAAACTACAGTTACCTGAAACAGACAGCAGACGAACGCCAGAAGAAATGCCACAACATTCCACATACCTTCATAATCATCCTGAGTGTAGAAAAGGAAAACATTTATTGTCATTCAGACTAAAGTCCACATCATTTAAACTGCACCACATTTATTTCAGATTACAGCTGACTCACACAAGAGTGAAAAGTTGGCAGTTTTGTGCAGACCTCATCATTATCAAACCTCTGCTTTCACAGCAAAATGCACAGCAGCCAGTTCTGCCAGCCTAACATATAATTAGTGTTAGCTTATACATGACAATTTCAAAATAAAATCCCCAACTAAACACAACAAAGGAAAGCCATACTACAGCATTCTTTCTATAAAACACTTTTTGAATATACATTATATGTATAGAATATATATCAACATGCTGTCCTCCTTTTTTAGATATATTTGAAGCATTGGCGATAGGATGACACTGGCCATACCTGGAATGTGTACTCTATGAGGTGAACACCGCGGATTATGTTCAAAGATGCACACACGATATTTAGGACCAGAGAGAGGATGCCTGCCGCTGTCACTGGTTGGAGTCTTCCATTCTGACCTGTTTAAACAAAAGAAAGTAATAAACCAATAAAGTAATAAACCACTGTATTGTATATGCTATACTGTACAAATCATAGGGTCAGTCTTACCAGACCCAGGACCTTGCTCCATGTGCCCATTTGCAGTGCCGTTGGTGAGCTCCACTTCCTCCAAGTTAATTACTTGTGGTGGATGGATCCTCAGATCCCCCTGGACCTCTGCCAATGTCACCTCCAGAGCCGGACCACCGCTCTGGTTGTAATGCTGCTTCAGCTTCTGAATGGTGCTGTCTGTCAATTTGCAGCAACGTAACATTAAGATAAAGCAATGTATCTTTAGTTTGAAGCATCACAGCACAGTAGCTTTGTTTGTCATTCAACACAACATGTTTGAATTCAGAGCGAAATCCTTTGCAGTTCCAAATCTAGACGACAGCATTTCTCTTCCTACTCACCAAATTCCAAAAACGGATATGGCCTGGCCGCCAAGGCAACAACAGTGCTCGTGAAGCGTGCTGTGAACTCCCAGCGCAGATCTTCCAGGAAGCAGAAGGCCTGAGCAACAGGGAGGCTGCAGTGGCACACGGTCATGTACGATACACCCTCTGAAGAGACGAAGCTGAACAGGTGAGAGGAGAAAAGGTGTTTAGTAAACAAACAGCCTGACGCAGTGTGACACGGATGCCCCTGTGATCAAATGGACAACATTCTGTCTGTCTTTGGCATCACAAAATCAAATATAAACTCACTTTAGACTGTGTATCTTGTTGTTTTTGGCCTTAAATAGAGCTCAAATGAAACAGTCTGCTGCTGCTTTGTTTCCTGAATCCTTACTAGATGTTGAGGTCGCGGCCCTTGATGGTCCCTCTCTCAGGGAAACGAGCCAGTGTCTTGCTGATGGTCCTGAGCTGCTGCTTCCTCTCCTGGAGCTCGCGGTTGTGTTCAAAGTCTGTGGAGGCCGACAGGGGGAGTCCATCCCTCACCCGGACCACAAAGGCAAATAGGATCAGAGACATGATCCACAAGGTCCATGGAGAACACACTGCCTACATGGGGTAAAGAGAAAGACCAGGTCATCAGTATTGCTATGTTAGGGCTTTAACCACATTACTTTCATAATTTGACAATCACTCTATTGAATAATCATTTAATTTTGCTCATCTCAAGTCCCTAAAGCTTAAACTGAGATATCTAAATGTTTCGTTCGTTTCCAATTGACTTACTGTATCAATGAATCAACAGATCATTTCAGCTCCATTTAGGTACACTTAGCTAAAACTATTAGTCTAATCAAACAGCCCTTAAATACATCCTATCTTCATGAAGGTTATAAGGAATGTTAATTGTTTAATCATAGTGACTTATTGTGAGAGGTGTAGTGAGGGTATCTCGTATTGCTAGTGCAATAGAAACCAGCAGAAAGAAGCATCTCAAACGTCAACCTCCAAGTGACCATAAAGTTGAGTTAGATACTACTATCAAACTTTTTCTTTTTACTATTTGTACCTTCACAGAGGAATAATTAATACAGGACTGTTGAGGTGTTTTTTGTTAGACCGCGTTAGTTTCAGCACTTGCACACATAGACTGAGTGTATATTATTAGTAAGAGCGTAGGTTTAAAAATTGAGCAGTCTTGATTAGTTTTGCTCTGCTTGCAAAACAAGGGAGATTGCAGTGTAAGTTAAATGATATACTTGTAGTAACACCTTACCTCATTGTCATCGGTTTCATGCTGCACCTTGTTACTTAGCTCCTAAAGGTTAGCTGACCGACGTTACAACATCATATAAAGGGAATACACTAGCTTCAGATACCCGTTACGAGTGCAATCGCATTATTTCTATTAACTGAGATTAATACATACAATTTCAATAAGCTATTATTTACACATACGTAAGAAGTTGTATTAAATATAGCCAACGAGCTAACTTGAAATCGTTTTCCGGGTACAACAAAACCACAACAAATCTTCTACGGATACTCGAAGGGGACAAAAAACACATTATTAACCAGTCGGAGTATCATGCAAAGCCCCAACCTCTTCACTTAAAAGTGAAGTTAGCATATAGTGATTGTCGGGTAGCTATTTGCCTGGATAGCTACTGTACAGAGGTTAGTTAACCCATGTAATATGCAAATTATTTTCCAACGTTACTTTAGATGTGAATGTAATTGCGGCTGAGAAAAAAATCTAACGTGAGCGAGCGAATTTAAGATAGCGAACGGTATTAGCTGTTAGCTATTAGCTGTTAGCTCAAACGTTTGTGTTAGCTGTTGTTAGCTAGCTATGTGGCCCGTGATTACTTGTGGTTCTATTATCAACCTGTCGTTGTAAGTAAAATGTTTGCCCCACTAACAGCTAGCTCACGTTGAGCAAGTCGTGAATGTGGACATCGTTTCAAAGGCTAATACTTCGTGCCCTTTCTTGTTAGGATTGACAATATTTGTGGGCATTAACATACATTTAGCTATACGTTATATTTCATGTATAACGCTAAGGTATTAGCCATTGTGGTCTTCGTGATTTGAATGACATGTAGCACACATGACCTCAAATTTATGCAGCTAAATACTTGACAATACTTCTCCTGAGGCTATCATTGCTGTCTATATTTAGAAAGGGAGTTTTACGATGGTACAACACAGTGAAGCTTTGTAACATGATACGAGTTAGGCTATTAATGTATTTCTGTCAACATCTGCTATTGATCTCATTCGTGAATGCACATTAGCTGTGGAGTAACATACAGCAGAGTGCATTAGGAACTGTTCATGAGTTTGCTTAAAGTAGAGTTTATTGACAATTTAAGTTGTATAAATGTCTTCTTGATAATCTTCTGCAAGGGCTTTCTCTTTCCTTGTGGTTTTCAGCTATCAGTGGTCTGAAATGAGGTCCAGTAGAATAATGCATGCTCTGTTCCTCTTAGACTATTATCCCAACACACCCAAAACACACACCATGTGAGGTCATACTCTTTATGTCAGCACAGTGACTCGGCATTTTCTGAACAATATATCGCCTGTCTCATGCGAAGATTAAGCTTCTAATAAATAATTGCTGACAGATTATTGGATGCTCTGCTTTCTTGCAGACTTGCACTTTGCCAGCGAAACAATGTCTGGCAAGGCAGGCGTGTTAAGTCATGTACGTATGTTGTGTGAAGCTGCTGACACCCCAAATATTGTTGTGTAGATTTAAATAGCAACATTTTATTGTCTCTTTTTATGCAACAGGAGAGGAGCACTGACATTGAACAAGTTGAGGCAGAGTTTTGGAAACATGATTTCCTAATCCTTTGACAAGGGTAAACAGTGCGAGGTATCGTCCTATCGTTGGTGTTTGCTTACATTATTGTAGTGGCTGCCGACACACCTTGAAGATGAACTTCCATCTACCCCCACTTTGACCATGTTGTCTACCAGGTTCAGCAGTAGCAGAACGTGACATTTTACTAAGTGGTCAGTGGAAACAGAGTTAAAATGTACAGCTAGGAAGCTGTGCTTTGATTTGCATAGCCAGTACATTTCCCCGTATTCGTCCCCTCCCATCCTTCTCTCTCCTCCCCTCTCTGTTTCTATCCTCCCTCTCTGTCTTTTAGTCTCTCTACCTTGTTTCCAACACACTCTTCTAAATATGCTGTGCGTTGAAGGAGTACACTTCAGTAGCTTACTGCTTCTTTAAGAGAAGGGAAACCTTATTATTTTCCCCTGCTTAGTATTTTCTTTTGTACCCTTTCTACATTTTAGGTCATCGGACTTTGATCAGAATGGGGGTGAAAGACCGCCCTCAGTGTTACTTTGATGTGGAGCTCAACCGGGAGCCAGGTAAGAGAATTTAAAATCACTGCAGAGGTATCAGAAATAGTTAGACATGTGAACAGCCTCAGCTCGTTTTCATAGCCGATCACTTTGATCTGACATCGTCAATAAAGATGTTTCTGTACTGAATGGTGGTATTTAAGTCTAAGCCTGAGAATCTATTAGCTATTGTACTCATCAGTTTAGTGGCCTCAGGCTAGAGAGCTGTTATTAAGTCCAATTTGCACAGGGAGGGACAAAACAAACCCACACCAGGCTCGTAAAAATAGTTTTAGATTTGCACCGAGCTATGGAAAAGTTTCTATAAGGCCTGAGCTTCACCACAGGATTCCTCTAATTGTTGGAGGCTAATTAAAAGTGTGCAGTGTAGTAACATTTGGGTTACTTGTAACTCTTAATTGTGTCCTTAGCCTATTCATTTTCTTCCCTCATTGTTTTTTTTATGTAACACCACATTTATATTGTGTGAGCTAATATTTTTCCTTTTTTGCTTGTGTTTTGTAGTTGGGCGCATAGTCTTCCAGCTCTTTTCCGATGTTTGTCCCAAGACAAGCAAAAACTTTCTCTGTTTGTGCACAGGTGAGTACCAGACAAGGACAGGTTTTACTCTGTGTCTCGCTTTTGCAACATTTACTGCATTAACCAAATGTTTGTGTTTGAAACTGTTAAAAAAGGAGAAACCTGTTTTATGAGCGTAACAAGAAAGGGATCTGTTTGCATGTCTCAGAACTATAAATCATCTCAACTCAACAATCATTTTCTGGTTTTAAATCGTGTCTGTCTCTGCCAGAAAAATAATCATAATGAGTAGATGAAGAAATAACAATATGAGATGTGAATTGAAAATAAGAACCACGGTATCGCGCTACATGCCCCTCTCGTCATTTGATTTTGAGGAAAGGAGCCAATGGCTGTAGTGTCGTGTTGTCCAGCGACAGATGGAGTTACTGCACAGATAGAGGGTTCCTGGTCTTTCTCCCTCTATATGTCGTCCCACTGAGCAGCGGTCTGCCTAGAGATAGCCATAAATCTGCAAAACAGACTGCAGATCGATGCTCCATCTCATTTTTCACCCCAAATGGCCAACGGGAATGTGATGCTGACAAGGGCAGACATGGGAGATGATGGCTGGTTAGTCTGTTCCTTTTCCTGGACACACAGACGCAACATAACGCAGCAAGACACACAGCTCAGCTGGGCAGTTTGCTATAACGTGTCCTCTTTCTCAACGTTTCTAATGTGTCCTTTTAGGAGGGGATCGGCTCACACTATCAGAAACTGAACCCTCGGAACAATGCTGGAACCAGTGAAGCAAAAGATACTGAAAGATTAGCAACCTAAGCTGCCCGTTTGAACAGCCAGCCCTCTGTCCTCAGAAAGCACCCTCCAACACATCTAATGAAATCTCTGCATTCGCCATAAGGGAAGGGAAACCCAGGAGGGCAATAGCTCTTGGGGCAATATTCTGTCCCCCGTTGGTATCTTCTTAATTAATTCTGCAGGCCTGCACAGGAGTTTTAACAACAGAATGGCTGAACAAAGGTTTCCAGTTTACTGAAATCCCCACGTTTCACCTCAAGGCATCTGGTGTACTTTTACGGTAGCTGCTCTGTTGAATATTTGGTGTACGACGAGAGCTCATTTGACATGCATGTAATTACAGGTGAAAGGGGAGCTGGCAAAATCACAGGGAAAAAGCTGTGCTACAAAGGCTCCACTTTTCACAGAGTTGTAAAGAACTTTATGGTCCAGGGAGGCGACTTTACTGAAGGTACAGTAAGAATGTCATATAACCTCATTAACATGTTTATGGCAGTAATCCAGGAGACCATACATGTTTCCAGAATGTGGCCGCCACTTCAAAAGTGTGTCCTATACACACTTTGTCCAAAATGCACTTTTTCTGCAGATAGCATTTTTTTCTGTAATGTTCTGTTATTTGCTAAATGACTTTATTGTGTTAATCTCTGCAGGAAATGGAAGAGGGGGAGAGTCCATATACGGAGGCTACTTTGAAGGTAATGTGAATATCTAATTATCTCACTAACAGTCTCCATTATTGATGTCTCTTAGCTACTTTTGCATGAGCAAAATGTTGCATGTGCCTTTTGTGGTAATAATAGTTTTCTTGTGTATTTTCCCATGTATGACTCTGTTGACGTTCACTTTTCCATTGTATAGTGCTGTCTTCTATTAGGAACAGTAGTGGGCTTTATCAAATCCGCATGGAGAATAGGTATTGCTGAAAGCTACAATCTACCTGCCTAAAATTTTCAACATATTCTTTTATTTATAGAGTGGTCTTTTGCAAAATGAGAAGGTAAGAGATGTACACAGCTCCAGTAACACCATGTCAACATTGTCCCCACCACCTTCCTCTGTCAGTCAAAACAGTGCAAATGTTTGCAGTGGCGCAGATGCAAATTTGTGCTGAAGGGATGTTACAGGAGTTTCTATTCAGATGGCCACCCTGAGCCTCGTGCTGCTCAAGTTACTTTTAATGTTACATACGTGGTATTTATAGCTACATGGCTGCTATGACGTGTAGTCACATACAGGCTGCAGGCTCTCGACTAAATAGGAAGACTCGTAAAGTACCACAGTGGCAATAAGATATTTATAATTCATTGTATTCAAATAAATATTCAAGCATTTGGAAAGCATTTTAGTTGTTGTTTTCCAAATTAAAATATCCTTTTATATATGCAAATAGCTTGATGATATTTATGAGTGAACTTCCTGTGGTTTTATTAACTATTTACATTCACGCTAGTGTGAGTGACCGTATATCCAAAGCATTCAGGATGTTTGGTTTACGTTCATTTAGTGTGCAAAGAAAATCACCTTCAGGAGACGTGAGACCTGCTTTCAGGAGGTGATTCAGCTTAGTGAGCAGCTACTTTCCCTTCTTTACGTCCAGTTTGAATGACTGTCGGACACTTGCTTTTACAACTGCTACATTTTCTTCTGCTTTACAATACATTAGCTATTTCTGAACATCTGCTCCGCCCTTTTTGAATCCACAATCACTGAGGATTTATTAAATGATCTTGGATCCTGGGGATAATGTAACCTTGATGAGAAGAAATGCAATAAATAGATAATCCATCTCAAGCAAGCAATGTGCGTCGTATAGCCTGCTAAACTGAATGGAAACCAATAGAATATTTCCTGGAACGTCAGAATGATGTAAAGTATTCGGGATTTGTAGTTTATAGTTTAAATTGTACAAAACCAGTTTGGTAAAGGACTAGAAGAAACAAACAGAAACCTTTTTTATAAAACTCTACCTGTATGGAAGGACAGGTTGGCGAGGCAATGATTAGATTGTTGGTTAAAAATGGTTATTCCTTTTGTCTTGTTCTTCCCTGAATATTTCCCGTTGTTACGTATCAGAGATCGCACTCTGAGACTTCGATCCCTCTTTCTCTGCTGCCAACAGATGAGAACTTCATTCTCAAACACGACAGAGCCTTCCTGTTGTCGATGGCCAATCGCGGGAAGGACACCAACGGTTCCCAGTTCTTCATGTGAGCGACACTCTGCACCTTTTTTTAATAACATCACCATTTAACTGACAGGTCACTTTCTGTCCCTTTTTGAAACTGTAGAATAGAACTTGTCATTGAGTGTGAACGTCATCCACCTCCCTCTCTTGTGTGTAGTTGATTTTCAAAGGGAAACATGGATTCATTCTTTTTTACCTACAAATGTGTTACATTTTTTCTCTTGCCGTTTTTGTGTAAAATTTACAGAAACTCTAGCATCCTGCTCTTCCAAGGTAATGTGTCTACAAGGCTGCGTTTCTCTCTCTCTCTCTCTCTCTCTCTCCTGACTGTACTTCATTCAGTAGTTTGTATTTCCAACTATTCTATAGCACAGTGTTCATTTAAATATGTTTTGAACGATATTCATGATTATTTGACTTTCTTCATCACGAAAACAGGTTGTCACCATAAGTTATAAATTAATAAAAAAAACACTCTTGAAGCATAAAGGAGATCAAAACATGGTCACATAATTGCCGGCACTCTGTTGTTGAGGGTTTCTATTGCCTGTTCATGGCTGTTTTTTAATAGAACAGCCCAAATTGCGAGTGTTTTCCAAATTGATTTGCAGTCAAATATCATTAAACAAATGGCATTCTGACCAACTCTTCACCTTTTTGATATTTCTTCTGTAGTACAGTAGCACCCGCACTTTGTTGAAGTTGCATTTTTAATCCTTATTCTTTTCCTCCTTTTTCTCCCTTTCTCATGACCCTAACCACTGCCATTGGTTGACCTTCCCTCGCTTCTTTGTTGGATTTTCCCGCAAAACAGCACAACCAAGACGGCTCCTCACCTCGATGGGTAAAAATCCAACGTCACTTCGGCACTTACAGATAACAGTGAACCTTCACATATTGATTTTCAGGGCCTTTGAAGACACTGAAATCATGTAATATCAAGTTTCTGTAACAGGCATCAATGTCTTTCTTCCTTCTGTGCAGAGTCCACGTCGTCTTTGGTCTCATCATCTCAGGCTTTGAAGTGATAAAGAAGGTCGAAGGGCTGAAGACTGATTCAGCCAGCAGACCCTACGCTGATGTCAGAGTGATGGACTGTGGACAACTTATCACCAAGTCCGCTAATGATGGTACGTTTGTTGCCTGATCTGCGTTTCCTTAGAAGTTTGGGGTTCGCTTAATTCTCTTCTTTTATTGTTGTCAACAAATCCAATTTAAAGGCCATAATGATACTTCCCTACTCTTTTTCTGGCACTCAGCCCCAAGCTCATTTGTTCCTACTGAAGATGTAAAACTTAATAAATGGGTCATAAATACATTGTTCAATTTTACAAAATGCTCAGTAATTTCTATTTAATTCTTAGCAAACACTACTTAAATAGGAGTGCATGGGGACTATTTTCAGCAACTAATTAAAACCGTGTTTCTCATTTATGCGTTTATAATCATTTTGGACAACAATGGAGCTCAGAGGAATAAACTGCATCAGGTGCAGTAAGAGTACTGAGTCTGGTGTATTATTAGTCTCGCACCAACCAGGCCTTCCTCCACAGAGCTGTGTCTGACGCTAAAGAAAGGTCTGACTCCACACATTATCATTCTGATACAGAGAAAAAAGAAAACGCTCTGGCTTGTTTGTATTTATTTTAAACCAATCACAGGGCGGCTCTAAGCCCAGGATGCAGCGACTGTGACCTTTCAAAATAGATGCCGTCAACTTCTATCCATTCTTAAAGGACCAGTGTGAAGGATTTAGTGGCATCTAGTGGTGAGGTTGCAGATTGCAACCAACAGAATACCCCTCCGCTCCCCACTCCCTTTTTCAAACGCGTCAAACTACGGTGGCCTTCAGGTCACGTAAAAAAACAGGAAAGGTCCTCTCTAGAGCCAGTGTTTGGTTTGTCTATATGAGGAGCTCATTCTAAGCTAATGAAAATGCAACGATACTTGCATTCAGATAATTATATACTCATGAATATTAAATCACTGCTGATAAATCTCTCGACATCCTTAAAGAGATGTAATCCATTATTTGTTATTCTTTTAGTTTTATCTCCTGCAGGGAATAACATGTTGCTTATCCTTGTAACTGGATCATATTTTGTGCTCATTCTGTCAGAGGTTGGCATTTTGATGCCAACACCCCCCCCCCCACCACCACTGCCATTAGTTACAGGGCGTGTAACCTGATCTTCTGTTTAATGAGGACTAGCGAGGTGATCTCTGTGAAGTTCAGTTGGCATCTGCCCACCTGACTCTGCCAGGCCTGCTTTCATTGCCCCCGACATACCGGGTGGGATCAAACAGCTAGCTTTAGATGTCGTAGTGCTACACCACCCTAAAAGTGACTCCTGCCATTGAAATGACACGCACGCCATTATGTTTCATTCTTCAGTACTTGGCGGCAAAAGAAAAAGGACCTCCCACTCGGCTGACTCGTCCCTCAATTCCCACGACTCGTCCTCGCCATTTTCCTCTTCCGTGGGATCTGAAAGCGAATCAGATGAAAAGTACAAACATCGCAAGCACAAGAGACACGCAAAGAGTAAACGGTCTAAAAAGAAAAGGAGGGAATCTAAGAAGGAGAACATTGATGTTCTGCCGGCCAAGCAAAGGTAGTTTTTTATTCATCATCACATCTTTACCTGCTAATTACTCACATGAACCTCCGGTCTGATCAGTATATTCAAGTATAAATAGAAGTGATGACATGATTCGTACTTTAAGTAACAGAATATTGTTTTGCGTATTGTGTCCCTGAAGTTCTCACAGTCCTGTGGAAAGAGAGATGCTGGAGGGAGACGGTGAAGTGGAGGCAGAGAAGGAGCAGAGTGGGCGGAGAGAGAAGCCTGTGGTCCGACCGGAGGAAATCCCACCGGTGCCAGAGAACCGCTTCCTGCTGCGTCGGGACATGCCGTCTCAGGAAGATAAAACGGAGATGTCAGTTTTTTAAAATATATTTCAGTTTATTCTGTATATACTTAAGTGATCAACCACAGGTGTTTACCTTGAAATTTGATCTTTTCAGAGTTGAGAATGAAGAAACATCTGTTTCAACTGACCCGAAACCAGCAGTGTCCAAGTCTGGACGGAAGATCAAAGGCAGAGGGACAATGGTATGCTCACCTCAACGAAGATATTCGCATATTCAGATGATCTGGTGCTCGTGAAGTATTTGTTCATGGAGTAGTCTGCTCGTTTGACTAATTCCAAGGGCCAATATTTGTACACAACTGGTCGTATGTAGATATTGCTTCTTTTAAGGAGTCACAACCCAAGAAGAGTAAGAATCATTGCTGTAAAGAATTGATGGACATCTATTTATTGACCCCAGGAACAAAGTTAGTTCTCAAATAGTGGGTGGAGGACGTCACATTGGGGGGCGTCATCTAATGAGCCTGCATGTGACGTGATAAGAGCAGCCAAATCTAAGTGGCAGCCCACAAAAAACTGACTGGGTTTGTCTTACTTCATGGTTTGTGAGTTGGGAGGCTCTCTACATACCCAGATGTGTGTGCACAAGCACTTTTTCATAATATGTCCCCTTTAAGCACAAACTCAGCAAGCTCCATTAAGAGTTTTGATGTATTCTTTTAAATGCAGTTTGAAGTAGCATTGTATTGTTTCGTTGTTGCAGAGATATCACACCCCCACAAGGTCTAAATCACGCTCTGCATCTGTGGAAGAACGTGGCAGCAGTGAAACTCCACCACATTGGAAAGAAGAGATGAAGAGAACCAAAGTTTATCAACCACCGAGCATTGAGAGATGGAGCAAAGGAGACAAGTAGGACTTAATATGTGACTGTGTAACTTCAAACATCGGTTATTTCTTTAGTCTTCTTCATGCATCTTTTGACTTAACAGATTGAATGACCATTCCTCAAGCAGATGGGAGGACAGAAGTGACTCTGCGTGGTCCCGGTCTGCAGAGCACTCCTCAGACCGCAGCTCTGAGAGGTCCAGCCTGCTCCGCCAACAAACCAAAGAGAAGAAGAAAGCCAAACACAAGAAGAAGGCCAAAAAACGGAAGCGTGGCAAGAAGAAGAGCTCCGAGAGCAAACCTCAAGAGCCTTTCCCGTCAGTGGGTGAAAGGCCAGTGTCCTCGGAGAGGAAGTCCGGAAGATCCCGCTCTAAAACCCGCTCCTCTTCAAATCAGCATAATTCGTCAACTCGGAGGAGACGGCGGTCCTCGCCGTCTTTCAGAGACTCACCGTCCTACTCTAGATCCTACACAACAAGTCAGTCCAGATCTAGAGGGAGGTCTAGATCATATTCAAGACCCAGAAGCCTTTCTAGGTCTAGAGGTCGGTCTTTGTCTAGATCCAGATCTCAGTCCTATTCTCCATCCCGGTCGAGATCCAGATCCAAGTACAGATCTAGATCTTTGTCTCCACCCAGAAAGAAGAGTTTATCCAGATCCCCGAGAAAGAGGAAAGCCAGCAAGCACAAAGCGGACTCCATGATGTCCGAGAAGCTTCCAGAGAGCAAAGTCCCACCTGTCCCCAGACTCCCGAGTGTCCCGGCTCCCGAAAGTGCCCCGGAGATCCCAATGAGCGACAGTCCCCCACCCTCACGCTGGAAACCTGATCAAAAGCCCTGGAAGCCCTCTTACATCCACATTCAGGAGATTAAAGCTAAAGTAGCTCCCAGCTCCTCCGCTGGACAAACAATGAGAACAGAAAAAGCTCAGACTCCCACTACGCCAAAGTGTCTGCCAGGTGACTCTGAAAGCCACAAACCTGCAGGGCGCCCATTCAGCAGGTCCTCCAGAAGCAAGTCCTACAGCCGCTCATACAGTCACTCAAGGAGCAGAAGTTATAGTCGGTCCAGGTCCAGATCCCCTCATAAGTATAAAAGCAGATCATCCTCCGACAGCAGATCAGACACCGAAAACTTCCAGAAAACATGCAGCAACAAGAAGAGCTCACTGGACAAGGAATGGAAAGAGTATTACAGCTCTCTGAGGAGGATCAAAAATGTAGATAAGTACATTTCACTCCACAGTAGTCAAGACGCTCAGCCAGGATCGGAGAAGAGGCCGAGCTGTGAGCCGGACATCAGTGACTCGAGGAGAAGCAGCTCTTTGGAGAAAATCAAAGAGAGCGGCGGCTCACAGGATCAAGAAACAAAGCAGTGCAGCTCCATGCTGGCAGAGCCCTTTAACAGCAGGTCTGAATGGGATAGTGACAGTGATAAAGTCAGCCAAAGCAACAGTGCTAACCAGTCAAAAAAGCAGAAACAAGCAGTTCAGTCCAATGAATTTCTTGATAAGAAGTTGTCTGCTCTTACTGGATGGAATTCTGAAAGTGATTGTGAAAATGTAACCGCCAGGACATTGGCCATATCCGAAAAAGAGGAAGGGGAGGCTAGTTCGGAATCTGAGAACGAGACTTCCAGGAAGACGTCAGAGGCAGCGGTCGCACTGGCACACGGGGTCGCTGCTGCCTCCGGTCAGCCAGAGGAAAGTCCTGAGAAGGCCTCGGAGCCAGAGAAGCACAAGAGCAAAAAGAAGGCCAAACGTAAGCACAAACGCAAGAGGAGAAGCGAGAACAAAAGCGGCTCCCGTCACAGTAAGGACAAAGGAAAGAGATCGAAGAGGAAACATCAGAGGCTCAAGGAGACTTTTCACTGGCAGCCTCCTTTGGAGTTTGGAGAGGAGGAAGAAGAGGACGAATTAAAACGAGAGAAACCTAGTCCCGGTAGAGTTGTCAAAGAACGGCCCGGTGTGGGCAGCCTGAATGAGAAATGTACCTCTTCAAACAAGATTCCTAAAACAGAAAGAGAGAGGGCGCAACACAAAGCAAAAGAATGTATCAACAAAAACCCCAAACACACTGAACTCCAGCTTCAGTCGTCCAAGAGGAACGGGGCTAATTTACCCAGCTTCAAAGAGGAAGAGTCATTAGATGACATGGACATTTGTACACCAGAGCATGATGCTGAGATTGTAGAACATCCGGCCACACAGGATCTTTATAAGAACGAGTTAACCCTAAAATCTACCTCAAGGTCTTCGGATGTGGCGAGTAGAGAGAGTGCTTTGCCCCACAGCAAAGAGCAGCCTTCTGTTCCCTCCACAGCTACAGCTGGTGGCCTGCAAGATGAAGCGGCCGCCGGCAGACCTGCCGGCACCGTGGCTAATTTCAAATGGAGGCCGTTGAAAGGAACGTCGGCTCTCCAGAACACGAGCGTGCCGCCCGTCGCCACGAAACACGTCCAAATTCAAGAGGCTCTCAACGCGCAGGGAGTGAGAATGGAGATAAAAAGCAAAAGCCGGGTCCGGCCGGGATCTCTGTTCGACGAGGTGCGTAAGACGGCGCGGCTCAACCAGAGGCCGAGGAACCAGGAGAGCTCTAGCGAGGAGAGGTCCCCATCCGTGGGGAACACGCGGTCCCCGAAGAAATCGCGCTCGGCCTCCAGACACCGGTCCCGCTCCAGAGGATGGTCCCACTCATACAGCAGGTCCAGGACTCGATCCCGCAGCTCCAGCTACTTTTCCAGGTGAGACATAAAGCACTGGAGCGTGAGGGCCAATACTGGAGAGGCTCCTTGGACAATATTCAGTATAAAAGCTGAAGTCTGTGGTCTCTATAGTACAGACTTCTTTTGTTCTATCTTAATGTGATTGATAACACAACTTCATTATTTCAGGAGCCGCAGTAGGAGTCGGAGGAGGCGTGGAAGAGAACGGTCGCGCTCTCGTAGCAGCACATACCGGAGTTACGGGAGTCACAGGTACACCCTGAAACACGGATTAAATAATCTGCTCTGGCACCTCAATGGAGGTGCCAGAAGACACCTTGGAGCGTGGGGGGTTTTAGCCATGCTCTTTATTTTACATTTCAGTCTCGTAAAGGAATTCTTTACCCACAAAATGATCGTTCGTAGATCAATTACTCAACCCGTGGTACCTGGAGTTCTTGAATAAAACGGATAAAAGCCTTCATGAATTGAAGTAAATGGGGTCCAGGTTTAATAACGACAAAACTGTATTATTTTTTTTTTTTCTTCTTCCATCAGTCGGACGTCCAGTAGAAGTCATTCCAGAAGTCGCTCGTATAATCATCGTCGTCGGAGATCCAGGTGTGTGAGCTGTTTAATGGTCTAACAGACAGAAACATAAATGTTGAATTGTTCATGTGAGAGGTCACTGAGTCCTCTTAATCACACATACAAACATGATCATGTGAACACCATATGCAAGATAAAATACAGATTAATCAAGCAGAAAAGGGCTTTTGTGTGAAGACATTAGAGATAAAACAAGTAGGTGAATATTCAATAATTCTATTGGCTATTTTGATTAATACTTTTTTTAATCAAATTGAAGATTTGCTGCTTTTTTTCTTTGTCTTGTGTGATAGTAAAAATATTTTTTCCTCAGGTTTGTAGGACAAAATCAGATAATAAAAGACATCACCTTGGGCTTTAGAAATGATTTTGGCCATTATTCGCCTTTTTCTTACATTTTATGGACCAAAAGAAAATTTGTATCAAGAAAACAATCGGCAGATGATTAAAATAATTGTTCGTCGCAGCCCTTGAAGAGATCAATCTTATCTGTAGTCATTAATTATCGTATCTAGCATGAAGCGGGAATAACCAATCAATGGTATTCTCTCAGCACGCGGACCACATCTGAGTAGCTGTGCCGTGTGTAATACAATCAGTGATGGCTCTTTATCTTCATGCCAGGACTTTTGTTGTTTTCCTGTAAAACCAAGTAGATCTGTGTGAATGTAACACTCGCCTGGAGTCGTGGCTAAAAATAACCTCTCTGTACGTTAATGCAGGTCAGACTCCTACGACAGCTATTCCAGTCGGAGTCGGAGTGCGAGCAGGAGACGAGGGCGCAGGCGAAGTGACAGCTACAGGAGCTCAGACCGCCGATCCCGGTAAGACGCTAAGCATACAAGTAAAGTGTGTGCATTCAAAGCGTGCATGTAAAGTCATGTTTTTCCTCGTCGTTTCTTGCTCGCAGGTCGTACCGCTCGTCCAGCCGCAGTTCTTCCAGCAGCCGGTACAGCTGAGCCTCAGGGCGAGAGTCTGGGCATGCTGTCACTGTTACTGTCATCATGAGGAAAAGGCCTCATAGTCCATCTGGTTACTAGTTTAATACGGTACTGTATGACAGGCTGAGGAATTGAATGTTGTAGAATGTAAATAAATAAACCACTTTACAAGCAGATGTTCTTATTTTAGGGACTGTCACAGCGGAGAACTACAGCCTAGAAGTATAAAAAACAATTTATATGTGAAAAAGAACACAAGAAATAAGCTATATGTATTTTATATTGCATATTTGTATATTCCTTTTTCTACTTCAGTTTTTTTCGACACTGAAATGTACAAGTATTCTCCTGTAAGTGTCTAATCCTCTCAGTTCTGACATCTGTGAGGAGTTAGTGGGTGTAGGTTGAGGTTTATTTCTAGAGAAGGCCCGTGTTCAATGGAAGAAATCACTTTTTGTAGCAGTTTCAGGCTGTAATTAGTCTTTGTTCCATACGTTTATTACTGGATCATGAATTTTAAAAGCTGTGTCAAAGTATAATAAGTCTGATTTATATTATATTCAAACAGTTATGAATGTTTACACGGAATAAATACCACAGCATCTTAAGCCTACGTTCTTTTATCTCACCATGTGCAGTAGATAGTCGTGCAGAGATGGCGCCATCTAGCCTTCAATTCAGAACTGCAGCTCGTGTGTAGCTGTGAGATCGATCCAGTGAGCTGCACTGTAATGTCTTCGTCCCTGCAGATTTAAGTTTATGCATTATATTATGTCAAACACTACAAATGCACTTACCAAATAATCATTGTAGTTGTCTTATTATAGAGTCCACTTTTCTATTAAATGTCATGTAATAGAAGAATCGGATTATTGCATCTATAATGTCTCACTTCATTGGAGTAAGAAAAAAGTGTGAAACGGCTCCATTAAACTATTGTTCACACTTAGAACTAATTTAAAATGTGTCCCCTGTTTAGTAATATTTACATACACTTACAACTGAGCTCCTGTCTCTTACTTCTGTGAGCTGCATCCTGTAGTAACCAAGAACCGTCCGGCGGATACAGATCCTGTTGAATTGCTTCAGCGACTGTCCATTTGTTATCTGCAAGTGCAGAAGTGCAGGCAGTGAATACGTCTACAGTTCAGACGTGTTCTGTATGGATGGCTCATACAAATCTGTCGGAATACATCATGTGATGCACAGGTGGATGAGATGAATGGATTTGATGCTGAATAGATGTATATTTTCTCTTTATTCTGTCAATTCTTTGGGCCTCAAATGAAATCTGAGGAGAAAACATCTCTTTTTATGAAAGGTGACATAGTTTTATTTAATTAAAACCTGTTTATCTTGCCTAGAAGGCTTTGAGCTTCTTCTACTGCACAGGCTTTTCTTAATTTTTAATTCATATTTTTTCCTTGTCCCTGACCTTTAAATCACGTTTCCTTCACAAAATATGTCCTGTAATAACTTTTTTTAATAACAAGTAGTGTACACGGCTCAAAATATGTATTTCAAGATTGTCAGGCTCCTTTCAAAATGTTCAAGCTTCATTTGAGTTCAATGCCTCAGGTTTCATGAGGAGAAATTGTTACCCTGCTGTCGTTTTCCACAGAATATCTCCTAGTCAATTTTCTCTGGTCTGAAAAGTTGAACAGTACATCATAAATATTGAACACGTTTTCCACACACTACCTTAAAAACCTTTTTCATGTGAAATGAGTTTGAAGATTTTTGTCATGTTTGGTTCAGTGGACAGCTCTGCTGTATCCACACTGATGTTGTGGGCTCCACTGAGTGCTAGACATGAAGTGATGAATGGGACTACCTCCAGGTTACAATCAATTTCTTTCCCACCTTGTTATGAGCGTATTGACTTCTACTCCATGCAGTCTACTCAGGAGTGAGCAATGGCAATGGGGTTCAGGGATCCTTCAGGGGGGTTAAAGACAAGGCTGGATTACTAACATGGGCAACTGGTCTGGGGGCTCCAGACCCTCACAAAGCAAGAACATGAATCAACTATCTCATAATTGATTGCTCGAGACATTTTTCAAGCACATTCGCACATATCATGGTGAACTGAATATCTTTGTGTTTTGGACTGCTGTTCAAAACAGAACAAGGCATTTGAAGACTTGATCTTGGTCTCTTGAAAAATGTGATGGATATTTCTCCCCCATTTTCAGAACAAAATATCAGATTAATCGAGAAGACAGTCTGCAATAATTAAAACAATTGTTAGTTGCAACCCTTTTGGGTTGTAATTTGGTTTATAAGTATGCACCACTTAAACACAATATGAACTGAAATCATAGGGGCCTTAACGGGCCTATAATAAGTATTTTATTATTGTTACACCTTTATTATGACAGTTTATACTATGCATATATGATGTAATATGTTATGCTGATATGATGCAAAAATGATGGTTAACCAAATCACCAACTAGGCCCAGGGCACCATAAGAGGTTAGTGGGGCCCTGATATTCCTATTGGGGGTAAATCATTTAAATTAAACATCCGTTTGGAGAATTGGAGAATAAAGTAGTTATGACGGGCTGATATTTGGCACAACACAGTGTCCATATGTGGTGTGTAAATGAAGTTACAATGACTTCTGCAACATGGGGAAATGAACGAACGTCCTGACCTCCGCATCTCTCTGCACATGTGACGTCACACCGAGCGCACAGTTGAGAGGGAAGCGCACCCAGGTTTTGCGCCATATGGCTTTGCATGTCCTTCCCACAGTTTTCATTGCTCACGCCGAAAAAAAGAAAAACAAATCCATCCAAGTAGCCTCCAGTACAAAGAAATAAGCCTGTCTCGCAACTCCACGTTAAACGGTACCGTGTCCCTTTAAAACCGTCTGACAAAAAGCCCATATGATCCCCGAGCTCCAATCACCAATTCCTTCTGCAAAAGCAGCCTCTGCATTTTTGTCTGTCTGAACGCTACAGCAGCACGGTGGGGGTACAAAAAAAAAAAAAAGATTGAGGATAAGGCAGAAAGCTGAAGAAATGTGATAATTCAACGGTCATTTTCATGGCGGAGGGGAAACTGGTGCGGAAGGAGTTATTCTGGGACTCCTTTGAGCCTCGAAACGCTGGATCAAAATGGTAGGCTACAGAGGAGAGCGCTGCATTTTTTTTTTTTGTTTATTTTTTTTTGTGTGTGTGTGTGTGTGTGTGTGTGTGTCCCTCTTTGATCTCTTGCAAATTTCAGCTACTTAGCAAGGCCGATCAAACTTGCCACACTTCGTGCCTCGTTGTGTGTTCGCACCGCCGGGGCTGTCACACCGTGTATCTTTTGCGCTTTCTGTCCCGAAGTTTGTAACTTGCCGACACGGCACAACTTGGAAATCGAAGCTTGCCGAAAGAATGCGATGGCTACAATAGCTACATTGATGCAGAGAAGGAGTTAAATTCTTTCATATCGGAGGCAAAAAAAAAAAGAGAAAAGGGTGCTCAGGTCGTGACTGGTGCAAATGTAGACACAGCGTGCAGGGAAACTCCTCTCCTGCAAACAGCCGGTGCAGGATAAGTTTGCTAGGCTTTGACGTTCATGCATCCTCGGTGTTGTCCAAGAGAGGACTGGATGTCACTCTTCATGTCTTCATAACTTCACTCTGTTGCAGGTGACACTCAGGCAGAGGTGTCTGAATAATATCCTCGGAAGTGTCTCAATCATAGCGTGTGACAGTCTGTTTTATTGTATCATGTTTTAGTTCTGTGGTGTGTTTCGTCTCAGCTTCTTTTTCTTCACTTTTCCAGAATATCCGTTATGATTTTCAACCGGACTCCATGTTTTTGTTTATTTCCCTCGCATTAGATGAAGATGCTTCTGCACAGACAGACTGGCAGAGTTCTGGTAATATAGAGGCAGACAGTCCGCTCTGTCTCCAGGGTCATATTAGGATGCCTCATTAGGAAAGCATGTGGAGCTTGATGCAGTGGTGGAGTAATCCCAGCGCGCGTTCACATCTGGAGGCTTGGGTTAATATCTGGGTCAGGTCAGTGGGGTTAGCCCTGGTACTCGCTGGGTGGCTTCTGGTGGGAGCAAAGAGGGAGGGAGAGAGGTTTTGGTATGTTTTTCTTCCCTTTTTTTATTCTATTTAGGGTTGTTGTTTTTTTGTGCGTGCATGAGAGTATAAACTGTGACAGGCAAAGTGTGCTGGGTGAATGGCAATGCGCCTGTGATCAGAGATATTGTGTCTTTTGACTGTTTTGGTCAACATGCCCCTGATAATTTCCGCAATTACTTTGTTGACATCAAAAGCGGATTAGTCTCCTGATAATTGTGTTGTTATCAATAGCTTCATACCCATAAATTCCCTTATTCATGGATGGATTACTCAACAGGCCTACAGTATTAATAACCGTTATTATTACTGAGGCCAAGGGGTCAGGTGGGCCTTGGACCAGACAGTCTGTATGAAGTGTCTCTTCACATTTGTTGTTGGAAAGTCAATAAAACAACAACAAAGATATAGAAAATATCCACAAAAAGACAAAACAAGTAAAAAAAAATAGAGATGCAAGTACAAAGTGATGCAAAACGACTACAAAGAGACTCGAAACAAGTTTGTGAACAGCGTGACCGATGTGGTAGCGTTGCTTGTAGTCGTTTTGTCTCTTTCAGTCTGTGGGTGTTTCTCTAGGAGGGTCTTGGTGCCCAGAGGCCTATTGTCTCATAATCCCTCCATTCTCTTATCCAAATGATTGTTGTTTTTTTTGTTGTTTTTCTCCTAAATTGGTGGATTTGTGAATATATAAATCTGTGTCACTTCCATGCACACTTTCGATAATGTACGCTGCACACTTTGTACCATCCCACCCTGTTTAGGCTGGTGCGGCCCCCGAGTAGCTCCTTCTGCATCCTCGCAGGGTGCTGTGAGTTTTACGTAACTGCCTATTCAGGGCATTCCTGCCCACCCTTGACTTTGAGGCGTCACTGTCTCTGGGTGCTGAGCGAGGAAACTGTCTTTGGTCCTTGTGACAAGTGCGGCAATTCCTGAGCCCCAGCAACAAACTCCAGCAGACATCCCCCCCCCCCCCCCCCCCGCTCTCCTTGGAAACTCAGGACTGCACTGTAGGTGCTGCTAATTTATGCCCCTGAGATTAAGAAACAGTGGACACGGCTGCAGAGAGCAAGGTCAAAGTCACTGAGTTTATGTAAGCTTTCTTTTGTTCTTGTTGGTTAAAATGGCACAAGTAATTACAGGGGTTGAGTTTACTCTTTGTATAAATCCGCATTTTTATTGTTTCCCAGCAGCTGGCATCTGTGTCTTTTCATTTAGGAAACTAATTTAACCCCCTATGGCACTTTTTTTAAAGAAATAACTTTGAACCCCATTATCATAGAGGCTAACCAGCTTTTTCTTTTTGGTACAACTTGATATGAGGATTTCGATTAGCCTTTCATCGTCGGGCGTTTTCAAGATATTGGGAGAGTTTTCTGTTTAAAGTGTTCTGGTGGCTTTCAGCTGAATTCAGGCCAGGGAGAGACTTAGGAGGAGCTTTAAAGCAGATGGGAATGAGTTTTCATGCTGTTTTCAGAGAATTGCCAAGCAGGAAAGAAGGGATGTTTGATCTGATAGTGATCATAAATATTTGTTCAACGTTTAGTTTGTACACCCGGATTCTTTCTCTGCAGGAGGTTTAGAGATGCACAAATGTTCGGAAAAGATGTGGACAGATCAGTTTGAAAAGTATACTCCTTTTCCATCACAATATCTAGAAATAACTAAAACTAACCACTGATTTATTCCTTTTTTAAATGTATAGTTTCACATTTTGTGAAATTCACCTCTTGTATTTCTTGCAGAAAGTTGGATAAGAAGATCGGTAGCCTGTCACTCTATTACATTTAAAACTACAGCTGGTTAGCTTAGCATAAAGACAGGAAACATGGGGAAACGGCTAGCCTGGCTTCGTTTGAAGGTAACAAAATATGCATACCAACATCTCTAAAGCTCACTAATGTGGTGTGTTAAATCCATACAAAAGCCAAACTATTTGCTGTTTTGCGTAAGTTATATGTCAGACGAATTCTCCAGGAAGTTACTGCTCCCAGCCAAGAAGTAGTCTGGCACATAACCACGGTAAACCAGCGAATGTACAAGCTGTTTTGTGGCTTTTGTTAATGTTTACAGTCTTTGTGCTAAGCTAAGCTAATGGTCGCCGGCTGTAGCTCCATATTCAATGTGCCGCTATGATGAGAGTGGTGGTATCGTTCGTCTGGTCCAACTCTCCAATGGGGAAACAAAAATACATTCCCGAAAATGTCGGAACTATTCCTTTAAGCTCATATTCACCGTTTCTCTGTCGTCCATTGATTGGTTGCGGCTATAGAAAGCCGATGCTCCTCCTCTAACTCTTTTTCCTCTCCGTCCTCTCTGACCTTCTCATCAAACATATCATCTGTGCACACACACACACGCACATACACACCAGAGAGATTCCTCTGATAAGGGGCTCTTTAGAGTCTTGTGTTAGCCTCTTCTCTCTGTGTGTCATGCTATAAAAGGGGTAATGAAGATATCACAGTTTCATCCCGTGTAATTGCCCTCGGGTATGTCTGCACCTGCTCGCTGCTACACATCACAAATGATCTTTTGTCTCGAGAAGATCACTTCAAAGGTGCATCTTTCGCCCTCTGTGCCGTACATTTGGATAAATCAGAATTTCTGATCTTTTTTTTGTTCCCTCCTCTTGATATTTTACCAAATAGACGTATCTTGTTTGTACAGCCCTCCACACTTTGTTGTGCCACAGGTATTTGGTGTCGCATCTCTGAGTTTGCTGATGAATGCGAGCACAGCAGGCGAGTGTGTGTGTGTGTGTGCGCGTCCGCTGTTGTGCACACGCATGTGCATGTGACGCTTGCTTGGGAACAGTGTGTTATGACTCCAGCGGAGCGGTGGTGTGTGAAGCGTTTTAACGTGTGTGTGTGAGTAGGAGATGCCAGCACCACGGGCCGCTCTCTTGGCCAGGCTTCCTGACTCAGCGCTTCCTCTCCCAGCTCATCCTCTCCCAGCCACAAACTTCCTGGCAGAGCTTCAGTGTGGACGCTCCAACCTCATCGCTGCCCCCCCCCTTACACCCACCTCCAGTAACTCCTTTGATAATCCCAACTGCTCGTCAAGAGTCATCCCAACTCCAGACGACCGCCGATTGATGTCTCCTTTTTCACATCACTTCTGATTGGCCAACATGCACTTTCACCAGCTTTACCAAACTGATAAAAAAAATGCACTGTGTTGTCCGCCATGTTCAACGGGCAAACATGCAGCTGAGGCAATCCTGCTCACGCTGTTAAATTTTAATATACTGTACGTCGCTAAGATGCTGCTCATGCTGTTCTCATCCTTATTTTTGTTTGTGCGTCCCAATTTCATGCTCGGGTAAACGCGTATCAGTTGTAGATTGACTTGTCACCTGTGGTTGCATTAACATATAGATGGAAATGCGTTTAAATGTAAAGGTGAACGCTGGTGGAGAGCTCCACCAGGGCACGACTGGGGCAAGTCCACGCTGCTAGATTAGGACTGGGGGAAAAGCCCACAGTGTGGAGGGGAGATTGGATGTCTGGGATTAGAGCAGCGCTAATGCTGATAATAGTGTCTTTTATTAATTGCAGTGAATGCTGTGGTTAAGAAAGTTAAATGTTTTAATGGGCTGAGGGGAATAAAATAATTAGCTGAAGTGGTGGAAAGAGAGAAGTGAAAAAACTAGCAGCTCATTTTAAAGTCATTTAGGATTTGCCTTACATCTGAAATTGTGCTGCTGTACATTTTACCTGAAATCTCCTTCAGTTCTCGTGTTTTGAGGCAGCTCGGTTTGTGATGGATGTTCTTTTGATGACTTTTCCTTTTTATGATGGCAAAAATTCATCACTAATTTACAATCCGTTTTAATTATTGATTATTTAGTAGGTTATTTTCTCTCAAATCCTGTGATTTAGCATTGCACTTCTATAATGTTTGGGGATGATCACTATATTCAATATTTTTACAACATACTTATCACCAGACTCTGCAGCTCCCCTCATCTCTACTGAGGTCTGTAGCATCTTTTAGCTAACTGTTTTAATTATACAGCCCGCAACTGTACTGTTT